AATGAATTGTTTTAATGAGCACTACTCATGTATGGTTAAATGATAAATAAGTGTAACTAATTTTGGCTTATCAACTAACTAATGAAATTTATTCAATTATGTATGTGTTAGTTAACAACAAAAAATTTGTGTCTTCACTATTCTATCAGAATCTATAACTAGTACTGTGTATGTTTGGGTCACAATCTTTTTTTTCTTGTTTCCATCTTTTGGACTAATAATAATAATAATAATAATAAGGAACCATTAGGATTAATATACTTCTTTTTTATTTACTCTACTCTTAGTTACCTTTCTCTTCCTTTCTTTCGTCCTAATGTTTTGTTTTTCCTGTATATATATGTGTATACTTGTATATAATTGTATAAGACAGTAGTTTGAGACAAGAATTAGTAAGTATACACAAAATTCTTGCACAACAAATAGACATTATAATGTATGTTTATTTGTGCTATTTATTCAATGTGTGTATGCACTCCTAATAGTTACCGCCATAGATACCTATTCACCTTTTCACAAATTAATGATTTCTTTCCTTCTTTCTTTCTTTTTGAAACAATTTTTTGGATTAGTGAATCTTTGTTTTTTTCTCTTCTAGTTTTTGGTTACATTGAAAGACAGAACCTAGTAGTGTTTAGTGTTATTGTCTAAAATCTAGAATAAAATATAAATTTATCAATTTTGTAAAATAGGTAATACCAAGCAATAAGAAAAAAATCGAACTTAATTAGGAATTTCATAGAATACACTTTTTTAAAAATATAAATGGTTTACGTCAATTTGTGCTAGAAATGAAGACGGGAAAATTTACAGAGTATTATCTCAAGGGATATAGACAATTGAATAAACAGGATCTGTGTACCTTATAGCACACATTCACCAACACCCACATCCACACACTGCGTTTATCTTAATGCCAATATCATGTATTATATATCGGACATTTATAAGATTAGGACACAAACAGTTATATACACCATAGAGAAAGGGAGTTATAGGGAGAATGACATTGAAAGAATGAAAGCATTAAAGTGAATAATATAATCATTGTAATCATTTCTTTCTGTCCTAGATTTTAGACTAAAGAAATGTGTTCAATTTTAAGTGAATGTTTGTATATGTCTGTAATTCAATGATTGGTTATCCTATTTTTCATTTATGTATTAGAAATACATTTGAAAATGTCAAAGGATAAATACATCTTTATTTTATCATTATATTATGAAATAAAGATTTTATTTTCATAGATTATACAATTTGAAGTTTGCATTGGTCAGTTTATCTAATGAAAATAGGATACTTATCTTATCAGAAGGGGTTTGTGTAGATGTTAGAAATTTCACTGATTGGAATCATGAGTCAATTGAAGCTAGACCACCATGGAAAACCTGGAAGCACTATACGGCCGCTTAGTCCTAGTACGGGACTCCTCAGCAGTGCACATCTACGATTCCGCACCTCGAGAGATTCGGACCCAGGACCTATCAGTCTCGCGCCAAGTGGTTAACCAACTAGACCACTGAGCCAGCGTCCAACGGTGTTAATGTCTAACTTTAACCACTGAATCTTGCGGGGTGCAGGATCGTGTATGCACACTGCTGAGGAGTCCCATACTTATCTTAAATAGAAAATCGTTTCCAGTAGTCTCAGTCTTTTAAAAATGGTTATGCGCAGATATTCATGGATCAATGGAAGTTAGCTATTAACACCATTGAATGCTGGTCAACTCAGTGGTCTAAAGGTTAAGTGTTTGTATGCGAGATCGGAGGTTCTGGGTTCGTATCCCGCATGCAAGATCATGGACGTGCACTGTTGAGAAATCGCATACTAGGACGAAACGGTTGTCCGATGCTTTTGGGTTTTCAATGGTGGTCTAGCATAGATTGAGCCATGAATTCAACTAATAATATTACTATCATCTCCACAAACTCCATTCTGACCATAGCTTATACATTTTTACACATATTAATATTCAATAAGGATGCATATAGGTCAGTTAAAAAGCCTTTTGATAGTTATGTTATGAAATGAAGATGTATAAATAATTTATATATAATGTATACATTTTTCAAGATCTATAATAGGTTTTCCCATTCTAGACATAATATAATTTTCACTACAAAAACTCTTCTTTCCTACTAAATCCCATACTTTTTGAATGTATGATGATAGTTGCCTCAATTAAACGTTGATAAATTTAAGAAAAAAACAATCTGGTGATTATATTTAAACGAATTTGCAATTAAATTACAACCATCAATAGGTAGTGTCCACATGGTATTCCATGGAAATCATTCAACCATGAATATTCACTATAATATCTAGCATTCAGTTATTTTCTAGTTATAAAATATATTGCTAGTGAAATAAGTAAAGGATAGTTTGATACTGTTATTATTAATCTAAAGATGTTATTCAATAGAACTTCTTGATTCAACCATGAGAGGATCATTTCATAATCAAACTTGGAAATAATATTTCATAAGAAAGTTAACTTTAAAAATCAGCATTACAGACCACTTGAATAACATCCTCTTACTTGGGTAAAATTTGATAAATGATACATTGACTATTCCACATATCCAATTCTGTAAGCATTGAATTGTGTAATAAACAAATTTACCAAGTGTGAATTATAATGGAAAGAACAGAAACTCCTATCATATTAAACAACAGAACAGAATCAAATATGTAAGTAGCTGTTTTATTTAATGTCTGATTCAATTGAGTTCACTATGATTCAAAGCATATAGTGTCAATTTCTTTTCGGTTTGGTCAAACAACGAAGCATTTTTCAATAATTCTTCGGATAGCGGTTCATTTCTATACATTTCTATACATAAACAATCTGCGGACTTTTTTGCTTTACTGAATTTTGTGCTATGATTTAGATGCTCATTGAGGACTTTGAAGTTAATATAATCGAAAATTATTGAAATATCTGTTGCACAGAGCTATGGTCATTTGTTCTCATGACATCTTTGAAGAAGAAAGAATGCATATCCATGATTTACTAAACAAAAATGAATAATCATCAAAGTTCCTGATGAATCATATATTGTTAACTAAGTCTAAAAAAGTCACTGTCAGTACGTAAAAAGATACAATTCCTGAAATTACAATTTAAAGTCGATATAGCCAGTCAAATTGAGCCTATACATCAAGAAGAACCGAGGAAAAACATTTATCGCTGCAACACTATATTCTCCTTTCTTCGTTTATTCATTAATGAAATCGGTAGTGAGCTCTTTCCAGTGATCAAGAAATAAAGATAAATTATCTACTCCTCCCTTCATCTATTTGTGTGTACCATTTTAATTGCTGTTTTAGAGCCATTCATATCGACTATACTATCAAACCATTACATTCTTTGATTTCTGAACTTCATTTTATATGGTTTACTAAAGGTGACGATAAAACAATATGTATCTCTTAACTGGGATTGAATGCCACAGTTACACAAGTTCGGCTTTCAAAGTTATTCATCGAGTTCCATTGAACTTTCTCTATGATTCTCGAATCAGTCTATTACAAAGGATCCCGTAGGTTTGTACAGCCTCTTTCATGTACTTTAACTTTTTACATAAATATCCTTCTGTCTCTCAAAACATTCTTTTCAATTGTCCATTCTTTTCATCTTAATTCAGTTTTAATTTCTAAATTTATTGTTATGTAATCTACCCTTAACAATCTATCAAGTTTTTTTCTCACTGACTGAATGAATTATCTGTTAATAAATGTACAAGTAACATTGAACATTCATAAGTAATTGCTTAATTTCGAACTATTCTCATACCTGTGTAACTAGTTGTAATATTCGATTGATTATGTAATATAGCTTTAGTCGTATTCTTAATTTTAACTTTCCATCCATTGATTTACCATGAATTATTTACTATATTCAAAACAAATTTTATGATATACATTGTCGAATAGATCTATCAGTTATTTGATATTGATTTTATACTTTGGTTAAAAACTAATGTACAGCATTGACAGGAAACTGCTCGAAAGAAATATCCTATTAATTGGTGGTTGGAGATAGTTAACAGGAAACCCTGGACCCAGGTATTGTACTATTTGACACTCGTCAGCAAGATGTGCCTGGAATTCTATGGGAACTGATTCTCCCTGATGGATTCGATCCCTTGCTACCTAGCTTCACAGTCAGAAATGTTACCACTGGGTTATCAAATTTATGACACAATTAAGAAGCAAGTTTTTTTCGGTTTAACAGTAGTTTAGAATAAAATGTTGAAAACCAGTAATAAACGATGTAATTGATTTCCATCATCATCTAACTATGAATAAATCAATTCAAGTTCGTTATAATTTATATTGACTATCAAAGTATAAATGAATAAATAAAGAGACGGTGATTATTGATTGATTAACTATCGTGTAGATACACAACGATTTGATAACCATTTAATACTACGATTCAGTATCAAGTTGAAACTGTTTTCTATTGACAGATCCAAAAGATGATCGAATCATTTTTAAAACTAAAGAAAAGAATTTATAGTCTTCTATCCTTTCCTAATTGAAACTGTAACCTATAAATTAACATTAACAGACTATTAAGAGATTTCAATGAAGAATATTTCTTAGTTTTCTATCATCTTATTTAGCTGATTTCTAATACGACACCTCGATTCTTACTGCGTTTCTTACATTAATAGATATATATAACTATCTACAGTAACTAGATAATAAATAAGTTAATCCAGTCATCAATATTAGTTGTTATTATGTTTATATTTAGCTAAGTATAACTTGACATATATTCTCAACTGTTTTGGTAACATTTTATGTGTATATATAAGTATGGATGTATCTATGTATAAATTGAATGTACACCTATACATAGATCCACCGGTAAAATTTCAGAATATTCTTAGCATATTCTTTCTTATTAAAAGTAATAAATTGTGCCCAATCAAATAACTATACTGATTGGTTCTTCCTTTCTTTTGTTTTTTTCTTTTTTTTTTACTTCTAAAAGAACAAAATATATTTCTTCATACTTATAACAAATACACATTTGCACTTATCAGCACTCAGAAGATTACAAAGTTATATACATATACATATACATATACTACCCTATACATATGTACATGTCTATTATAATTCAGATTTAAGTAATGATGAACAATAACCGATTATTAGATGAATGAATCAAATTTTACTTACATGATAAAATCCTTATAAAGGGGAATCATATAGAATAGTGTATGTATGCACTTAGTCTTCCTTATAAAAAAATTTTTTTTTCTAAAAAAGTAATAATAAAAGTATACAGTGACATGCACACAATTACACAATCATTATTCAATTACACATTGAATAAGTTTCTATGAATGAAACTTGGGAAAAATTAAAACAATTCATGAATTTGATTTAAAATCTTATTATAAAATTACCTTAGTAACTAACAGAAATGTATTTGTCTTTTCTTTTCTCCCTTTTTTTTAAAATGAATATAAAACTACTACTTATATAAATTAATATAAAAAAAAAGACTTTGTTACATACTACTTAAAAGAAAAACAAATAAACGATTGTGATTAGTGAGAGAAAAAAGAATGTTATTCCATCTTATTCTAATTCATTGTATTGTTTATATGATCAATGCTCAAGGTAAGTTGATCTATTCAATATAAAATTTTTGTTTTATTTTATTTATTTATTTATTCACCTTACTTATCATAGACTTCCATCATGAAAGTTGACTTAGTGATTTGATTTTTATTCTATGAATCTATGGTTCGTTTATATTAAATTGTAGCTTGATTTTTCTTCTTTCTCTTTCATTCTTTCCACGTAAAGATCATGTTTAAATATCACATAGAGTAATTCATTTTAGATTAAGTAAATATATATACTCTATTAATCTTATTATGTAATTTATTATGATGTATAATTTTCTATGAACCTGTTAGATAATGGTTACAATTCAATGAATAGATAGTATGAGTTCGATTCCGGTCCAAATGCCTCAGTTTAATGTTTTGATCGAGATAAATATTCTCATTTGTGATAAACTATGACCACAGATTATAATCATTCTATTGACTGATTGACAGATAAATAATGATGTTTTATGATTGTCTAATTATTTTAAATGAGCTAGATATAAGTCTGAATGTATTGAATGTCAGTTTCATTTCCTTATAGTAAATCCTACTGTTTTATATATCATAATATAGTGAACAGAACACGGGTTGGGACAATCAACTGTCAATTACACGTAATTACAGAGTTACTTGATAAAATAGAAAAACCATATAGTGAATTGTTAATTTGCAAAATATCAATGCATCATATCAACCTGGACTGTCCCTGTTGTAAACATTAATCCATTGTCTCACATTTCATTGCTCATGCGTTTTCTTACAAATTGCATTGTGCTCTAGCTCTTCTTTTGTTGATCTTCCCCCATCTTCTGCTGCCAGACATTGTGTTTTGAACTCGCGCCATATACTACTTACATCAATATAAGTAGCACGCACCATAATAGAATTTAAACTGTTTAATTTAGTAATCTTCCTTTTCAATTCATAAAATTGATACAATTGGCTTGAATAGTTACAAATTATAGTTAAACATGTATCTTTTATATTTAAGTAATACCATTTAAGAATATCATTTTAATTATTATTATACTGAGGTTGATTAGTTGCATATTTATTAGATTGCTAGATTGGATATTATTAAAAGCTTAAATATTTTAAGTTCAGTTGTAATATTGATTTATATAAAAAAAGACAGATGCTGGCTAGTATTGGCGTTCAGGACAAACGTTCTGTCCTATTTAGGACTTGTCAATTGAATGTATTTGCATCCTAGAGTTGATATTCACTTTGAGACTCGAATCTAGTACCATTCATTCCAAATGCTATCGTGTTATTCATTTCGATACTGAGTCCTGTTTTTTTGAATCTTTTCATTGATGTTTAGAAGTGCAATTGATCATTCATTTTTGTTGATAATCCTTGTAATTTAATATAATATCAAAACAATCCTCTCATAGGATATAGATATGCTAATAATGGATTGATCAATTACTGTCCTAAGCATCAATGGGATAATTCAAACAAACAAGTTTCAGAGAACATAAACTTTCTTAATTATATCTATTGGTTTGACTCTAATAATGAACCGTATTAAGCCATTGAAATTTCACTTATTTTTTTAAAGAATGATCCGTAAATTTTCTTTATTTATAAATAAACACAACTAATCAATAAGTTACTAACTTAATTATGTTAAGTAATATGTATTTATAAAAGAAATTTGGTAATTATCAAATTTTGTATAGTTTCTTCATATTAATATACTAACCGTAAACTATCACTAAGTGATTCTTAGCATCATCAAACTAAATGGATATCTATAATAAAATGATAAATTGTTGAAATTATCTATTTGTTTACCTAGTACTTGTAACAATTTGAATAAACAGAACAGAATTATCGTTAAGGAGTAATTACTCCCAAATGCCGTGATATGGCCGAAAGTTGGGACAGTCATCTCTCCCTCTCAAAATGCTCTCACATGGCCACGTACATACAAACACTGCCAAGGAAATCCTATTTACTGACTTTTCGTGATATTACTGTTGTTTACGAAATTAAGAGGACGAAAAGCGAATTTCCAACGCTTTAACCAGGTTAATAAATATGGAGGTTCCACCTGGGAGAGTTGAAAAACCCTTATTCCAAACCAGTGGTGTACATGGGCTCCAGGATCTTGAAGGAACGAATGGTGTATGAACCAATTGTTGGTCACCGGCTACCAGAAGACTGCATCTTCTGACGTTGCCCCACTACCTCGTGGATTAGACCTTTAGATAGAAGACTGCAGGTGTGACCCCCTAAGACAACCACCTGTTTCGGTTTTGGCACCCTGTCCGTATCACAACTCTCACATAAATCGAATGATTGACGTGACGCAAATCTATTTGGTACCTCCTTATATCAATGTTTATATGTTTAGATAAATAAATAATAAAAGGTACTGACAAATGGATTAGTAATGAAATTATTTAACACTTAATTTTGCATAGATTATAGGGAATAAAACAATTTTGCAAATACACTATAAGAAATATTCTAAATAGAAAATTACTCCTCTAACCATCTTTAGGATTGTAGTGAGTTTATATGCAAATTGTTTCATTATAAATTTAGTCATTAGACTTTTCAATAAATTTGAGTTACCATAATCATGTTCAATTACATAACGAATTACTTTTTTGAAATGATTGTTATTGAAAGTGTCTTATCATCGGATGAAGTCTATTGTTACTGGACACTTTACTTTAGAGTAATGAACAAACATATTGGAAATATGGCGCGTAAAAGAAAGAGAAAGAGTGATATGTGCAAATGATTAATCATGACGGAATTAATATTAATCTTTAAATTTTATAGTTGAATACATGAGTCAATCTATGCTAGACCACCTTAGAAAACCTGGAAACACTAGATGGCCTCTTCGTCTTAGTATGGAATTCTTCAGCAGTGCGCGTCCATGATCCTGCACCCAAGACCTTCAGTCTCACGTACTAACACTTAACCTTTAGATCACTAACCTGATTGGCATCCAATGGTGTTAATGTTTAACTCCAACCAATCCAAGATATCGCACTACCGTCCATCATTGTCTTTAGTAGGTAACTGCCTCATTGTTGATGAGTCCCATACTAGGACGAAACGGCCGTCCTATGCTTACAGGTTTTCGATGGTGATCTAGCATAGATCAACTATTGAATTCAACTATTTAAAAAAACGCTACAATTTTCACAAACCTTCCATTCTGATAAAAATGTCTTTAAATTTCAATACAATTTTACAGTTAAAACTTATATAGATATTTCAAGGAAATCATCAAATTTCTGTAATTATTATTCAGCCTTACTGTAGAATAGATTAACTAATATCTTTGTCTATTTTAAATGATATGCAACATAGAATAGTGAACATTTAATCCACCTTAATATCTATTAAATTTGCCTTAAAAGGATGTAAGTTATGCGAAATTGAAAAAAAAATCCGCTTCAAGTAAGAATAATTTCAGATAGATTTGAGTTGATGTATAGAAGATTCATTGTTAACAATATCAATCTGATTGGTTTAATTTTTTCTTTACATTGTTAAGGAAATATGTCCTAATTAATCACTTAGTCAATATCTATAATGTAGTATCGAAGTTTAAAAGTAATCATTCAAATTAATCACATACTTACATGTTAATTCGAATTCCTAGATGCTAATCACTGAGCCTACCTTTTTTCATTCTAATCACCTACATATATATATGAATAATAAGACATAAGTATGTCTTATGAGCAAAGATGGATAATCACTAGAAGTGAAATCCAGGATGCGTGTTTCGTCTTATTTGGGACTCGTCAATTGGATAAGCCTGCATCTCAGAGTTAATGTTCACCCCGATAGTCGAACCCAGTACCATTAGCTTCAAACACCATCACGCTATCCATTTAGCTACTGAGTCGTCAACATCAATTCTGAGATACAGATACATCCAACTGACAAGTCCTAAATAGGACGAAACACGTATCCCGTATTCCACTGCTAGCCACTATCCATCTTTGCTTATAATATTTGTGAATTAAATTAATAGGTGATAGGCATAAGTCAATAATAGACTCATCAAGTGCAGAGCTAAACAACAGTGTTAAGATTCAAGTAAACAATAACAAGTGGACATAAGTATATCAGTTATTTGGCATAATTTATACAAACTTCATCTCGAAAACTAATCGATTATACGGGGATATTCAGTGACCAGATCTGAATGATTCAATTATGAAACTTTAGTTTTTATTCTGGACAAAAGGAATAAGAATGAAAATGTCCCCTTAAGTATGATATATTCATGTTTGTTATTATTATTTCAAATTAATTATGATTAGAGTGAATACATTAAAACAAATAATCAATCGATAGTATGTCTCAATAAAGTGCTTATGCTGTATAATCTTTATTATGGATTTCTAATGTCTTTATTGACTCAAAATAGACGTTCTCAATCTCTAGAGGAACATTAGTTCCCAGAGTACTGGGAAACAAAATAAAATATACTGAATATGTTATCCCTTCCAACTTTAAGATTGTGTGTAGTACATCATTTCAAGTTACTTTTCCAAAAGTGAATACAGAACTTAAAATTTTCAGACAAATTCAATATTTGCTTCATTGAAAACAAATGCTGAGAACTTTCTTAATTTAATCTATTTATTATGGTTAACTTATCTTTTCTAAATTATGATTTTTGGATTGTTAATGATGAAAAATATTTTCTTGTATTCTTTTAGGTTGTACAATGGACGATGGGAGAGTTTTATCCCCCGGTGAAGAAGTTCGATTAGCAAACTTTCCATGTGCAATATGCCGTTGTGATCCAAATACACGTGAAATTGTTTGTGAAACAGAAACTTGTCCAACTTTGCAATGTGGAGAAGATGAAGGACAACTTCTAGAACCTGGTCAATGTTGCCCAGAATGTGTTGGTAAATTCATTTGCACTTCTTTTTCTAATGACTGAAATGATTGTTTGATGCCTATTAAAATTAATATTCAACGCTTGATTCAAAATTTAAGAAATTTGCTCTCTAAATTACTATGATAATTTTAAAATAGTTTACATCACTGACTGAGTTTAGAAGGAAGCATAAAACAGTTGTTGTGTTGTAGTATGAAACTCCTAAAGAGTGTGGAGTCAAGACCCAGTTACATGATGTAACCATAAACTTCATGTCTCAAACCAATCATATAATTTTCAGACCAATTCCTCCAGATTTTAGACGGTTATGTAGGTAGTTTCAGCTTGTTATATAAACTGTTCTCGAATTCAATGGTCTCCATAAAACTACAGTCCTGACTGAACAGTTATGAAACTATTTATTTATTTATTTTAACACATAGATATTGGTACAAGGAGGCACCAAATACATATGCGCCACACAAATCTCATTTGATATATGTGAGGGCTGTGGTACTGACAGGGTGTCCAAATCGAAACAGGTGGTTTTCTTAGGAAGCCACATCCGGAGCCTTCAACCTGAAGGTCTGATCCACAAGGCAGTGGAGCATCGTAAGGAGATGTAGTCCCATGGTAGCCTGTGACCAACGCCATTTGTTCCCTCAGAATACTGGAACCCATGTGCACCATTGGTTTGGAATCAGGGTTTTCCAACTCCCTTAGGTTAACTCTCCGTGTTCACCAACGCGTTTAAAGCGCTGGACATTCACTTTTCGTCCTCTCAATTTCGTAAAAAACAGTTATGCCACGAAAAGGTAGTGAGTAGGACTTCCCTGGCAGAGGCTATATACGCGTGGCCATGTGAGAGTATTTCGAGAGGGATAGCTGACTCTCCCCATTCTCGGCCGTACCAGGACATTTGGGGGCATGAAACTAAAGGAGATAATTTTAATATTATAAAAGCAAAATTATTTTGTAAGACTACTAAAATGACTGTATTGGTCAAGTACATCATCTACTCACATAATCGAGCCACAAATCGCAACCGAACAATGTCAAAATAAAGGACGACTGAGTAATTATATTTATAAAAATTCGGTGAATATAACATAATTGAATTAGTTGATTATTCGTAGCTGGAAACGAAAACCACAGATAAATCAATATTTATCTAATACTGTCCATTATATCAAAGCAATTATCGTTGGACTTAGTTGACTAAGGTTTTTTGTATGAAATGTATAAGGTAATTTACTTGTCATACATATTACAAATTAGAAAAAAATTGGATAGAATTATTATTTGTGCAACATTCCACTTAGCTAAACTAACAGAGCATCATAACAGTAAATCAAAGGTTTATGAATTCGCTTCCGTTTATTTCTATGACATCAGTAACATATTATTCTGATTTATGTTATTAATTTCAATTTTTAAGGATTTACTATTAAAGCCCCATTTAATTGATGAAATACGTACTAATTCGCCATTTTTTTCACCATTCTTTGTTTCATTTCTAAAAAAATTAAAGCGAAGAGTCGTGTGGTAAGTACGGTTTAATAATATAATAAATTATTATTCAGTATACTACTGTGCTGTCCGACAATTTATGTTCATTCATGAGTGTTATTGATGTTATATTTTTTTATGGATAGTTTCTTAGTTCAGGAACTTTATTCAAGCTGCTCGAAGAGTGGAATCATATGTACTTAACGGGATATTGGACTTAAATGATTTTTTAACCATTAATTCATCTCATGAAACTGAGATAATCAAAGTATATGAAATTTTCAATGATGTCACGAAGCTGGAATATAGTGGCAAAACTTTTAGTGATACATTTTATCTACTTATAGTTTATCAGTAAACAATAATTATCCACTAAAAACTACATGAAAGGAGAATGAATATTTCAGTAAACTAATGATTTTTGACAATGAACTCATTTTCATTGGCATAATATCGCAATAATAAATTATCCTTTTATTAATTAAGACGAGTATCAATCTTCTGACTTTAAGTTGAACTGTGTTCCGTTAGGATACTTGTATGTATTGCGATAAATATGTTTATTGTTCCATAACAGTCAAGACAATAAATTTAATATTTAAAACAAAATAATTTAGCTGATATATGGTGAAAAACAAGATAGAATATGTGTTCTATTCGTAAAACAGAGCAATTGAAATAACCATGAAGAGAAGAGAATTATTCAAACCGCTTTTAAGAAAAGAAAACAAGTCTGAATTAATTGGGATAATGAATGAGACACTAACTTGTACTGAACGATAACATAATTAGGAACAATCGAATGTATTTGGAAACAAAATTATAGAACGTTTTAGTAAAATCTGAGAACCATAAAATAACTACTTCATTTGCAAAATATCAGTCAATTGTCTCAAGCTTGACTGTTCCTTTGTTTCCACTCCAATCATTTTCTGTTCACGTTCTCTTTTCTTCGATCTTCTTAAGATTCTGCTGCGAGTTATTTCACTTTCAATTGGTGATGCATACTACTTATATCTATCAACATCAGTAGCACACATCACAAACTCAATAGTGAAATTGAATGGGGATTTTTTTATATCATACATCAGATAAGATTACAGATGTTGACCATTGGATTTTTTTCATCGCTTCATAATAGTTGTCGACAAAAGCTTTGCATAACTATTTGAAAAATGTAAAATATGTCTATAAATGATATTCATAATGAGAGTAGTCTGATAAATGTAATGGAGAATGAAAAAAAACATAGCATTCACATAAATCCTCTTTACATGCATTACTCAATAGAAAGTATATAAATAATTAAGCTTCATCAATATAAGTGTCAGTCGGACATTCAGATTTGGTAAACTTGTTACCAGTATACTTAATATCAAAGGAATAAGTCAAATTAATACGGACGTACTGAAAGATCTGTTTTCAAAAAAAGGGTTATATTAGAGCTGTAAGATTAGTTAACATTCTTCATATTAAACAGAAGAGAAACCACATTTAAACAGTACGTAGGGTGACTATTCCGATGATTTATTTTGCGAATACTCTTCTGTACTGTTGTCGATAAGTGACTCCATGTTTGTATTCATTTATATTTAGAATAACGGCAGAAGGGTTACTTATTGGTTAACTTGTTTAAGTTTTCTCTGATCGTTTTTAGTTTCAAAATACCAATCAATCTTCTGTGATTCGGATAGGAAAGTAGTATCATTTTTGCTTACACACAAAAATGTCCGATTCAAATTTAATTACACAAAAACATATACGTCATAACTAGGTTGCACTAAATAATATTCAAAGTGTGGGTATTTGCCACCAATAGACAAAAATATTAACAATGGAGATTCATATAGATTAGTTAAAGCTAATTACAACATTGGATTACGATTGATTTGAGTATCATTTGTGTTAATTTATTATTCCCTGAGATGGAATACTTGTTGAATTATGGTAGATTTTTGAATTGCAATACAAAATTGACCAAGTAGTATTATAAACTACACGTTCTTTTCACTTGATCAATCTAGACTTTTAACATTTGTAGTCCATTTCAAGTATATCAGCATACCAGACAATCGTAACTTAATCATCAAATCAAATCACCATTTATTTGCTAACAGTTTGATTAACTGAAATGACAAAACAGTGTTTTTCGTATTAACTGTAGTGTTACATAAGAGATAGTGTGGTATGTGCTACTATTATATAGACATAAGTAGTATATGACGTTAGTCTTGAACAGAATGTCCGGCAACAGTGAGACAAGAGAATCGAACAGTAAAAAATGGAAACAGAATGCAATTTGTATGAAAATGCAAGAACAATGAAGTCTGAGTCATTTTGAGACAGTTGATGTACGTTTTGCAAATTAAGTATTTACTACTTGATTGCTAGATTTTATTAACAAGTCCTGTAAGCTTGTGTCAAATACATTCGATTGTTCCCCACTAGTATTCTGTCCACTTAAATGTTCTCATATTTTACTTGAGTTGACAAAAACGCATCACAAGTGTAAAATTAAGCAGAGATATTCACTTAATGTTCATTACTTTGATTTAACTTGAAATGCTCAGTTTTTCATAGTGAACTTAGTAAGTTTTAAGACAATCTACATTACATTCCACATTTTTATCTAATCAATTAGGAACCAGTACTACCCCAAGCTACACCTCGTACATATACGGACGAACCAAGGTCAACAAGAACACCAAGACCAACTGCCGAACCAGCACAAACTCTACCACCTCCACCGCCACCATTACCTGATGGGTCTCCAGGACTTAGAGGACCTGTTGGACCGCCTGGACCTCCTGGACCACCGGGAGATCCTGGTTTTGATGGTGAAAATGGATTGCCTGGTATGCCTGGTCTCCCAGGTCCAGTAAGTTTCATAATTTCAAATACTTGATTTTTTTCTTGCATAATACAAAAAGATTTTGTACAGTTTACAAACTGTGATAAATACCAGTTTATTTAATTTTTTGGTAAACAGTTACAGAAAACATTCTTTTGATCAAAGTCTACAAACTTTCAGGTACATAATAGAGAAGGGGCGGGAATTAACTAAAGATCAAAGAGATCATTGAAAATCACTTCTCTACCTTCTTCTAAATATCATTAATTCATATTGGAATTAAGTTTTGCAAATTGTAAATTTAGAATTCATTTTAATTTATCTAGAAATGTATAAAGACAATAAATTACACAAACATGAATTTATGGTTTATAGTTGATTGAACTAGATTAAGAGACATATTCATCGTTGATTTTGTTACATCTCTTTATATACATTTATCAACCATAACATGTAAGGAAACTTAAATATGTAACATTATAAGTCATTTAAAGCTGATAATTGACTAGTTACATAATACATGAAAATATTGTTTCTATCTGTTAAAATAGAATATTTAATGAACACTCAATTACAATTAGTCATATAATATTACCATTGTGAACAAGGGTAATTTTACATTGGTTTTCAAAAGAACCATATACCACTTAGACTTTCACATGATAATTCAAATAGTACAGTTCAATCTGTTAGGTTGATTATGAATACAGTGGTCTTGAGTGCTGTTAGAAGTATGAAGGCGTTTATCACTTCCCGGTTGCCCACACCGTGGAAGGGTTGTTCTGGAGGTACCTGAAAAGGAAATTGAATTAAAGGTGGTCTTAGTGAACTGAGAGCGTGACCGCAGTGCCCAAGGGACAACTGCTTGAGGTCGGTCACACACGACCTTGTTATGGGTAATTTTTGTGTTAACTCCGTACTTATTGAGACCTTACCGCCGGAGACGGATATCCGTGGGATAAGGCGAAATGTGCATTTTTAGGGTCGACCTTTTCTAACCCCACCTTGACCTAACCACTTCTATGAATCCGCTGTTCATCTTGCTGTGCTAATGAGGTATGGCAACCTGGACCGATGCACATATGTGCCTGGTCCTACGTTGTAGCTGACTGACTGACTGACAGTTCAATCTCGTTTAACCGGAGAGCCAGATATTGCCCAGGCTTAAATTTTATAACCTGAACAGTATAGCTCAATCCTAATTCACAGGAGAATCAGACAATTAGGTCTGAATCTTTGGTAAATATGATGTATAAAATGAAATTTTACCCTAAGATTAACTTTTAACCTTAAGCTTACACTGTTTAGATTACTCTTAGTTGGAGTTTTAGATATCTATGTTAGTTTAATGACTAGAGCTAGATGACAGTCTAATTTATAAAAGGATTGAAGATACAAATATTGAAACATCTTTAGTGGATATCTGAATAAATTCTAATTTTGCTTCAGATTGCTATGTAAAAGAATTATGTCTCAAAACAATCAATTATTTTCATTTTCTGCCAATTACAGATGTTGGCTTCACACACTTAAACCATACTATAATGAATGAGATTAAACTATAGAATCTATTAGTAAAGTATGAATATTTAATTTGCATATTTCCATCATTTGTCCTTTACGTTCTGTATGATTCTTCTAGTTCAAAATTCCTTTCTATTTTCACTTCTATTCAATTCGATATTCTTAGCCTTCTGTTGCCAGGTTTTCCACTTCTGATTGGTATAACATAAGTAGCATACACTACAATATTATCAAAATAATATAGACAAGTGCAAAGGAAACCTAGGTAAAAATAATTATCTCATCATAAGCAAAGATGGATAGTGACTAGCAGTGAAATCCAGGATGCGTGTTTCGTCTTATTTAGGACTCATCAGTTGGATAATCCTGCATCTCAGAGTTAATGTTCACCCCGATAGTCAAACCCAGTACCATTCGCTCCAAACAACATAGCGTTATCCACTTATCTATTGAGTCCTCTGAGATACAGATGCATCCAATTGACAAGTCCTAAATAGGACGACACACGTATCGCGAATTCCATTGCTAGCCAAGTCAATAATAGACTGATCACTTGCAGTCTTAAACATTAATGCTAAGAGATTCAAGTAAACAATACCATGTGAATTATCTCATTGTTATAAAGTTTGAAATTATACACTAAATTAGCTAACTTTTGTAAATAACCAAAGTTGGTCAAATATTTTGTGTGTTTGTTTGTTTGTTGTTGTTGAAAATATTAAACTCGATTGACTTCGTCTTGTTGATAGTAATCAATAATTTTTCACTTTTTTTAAAAATAATACCCTAAGTAACTAGATACAAGTGCTCTATAACTTGAAACAATAATGACTATAAACTAAGTAAGAAATTCAACAGATAGACTAATCAGTTGAAGGAAAGCCGAAAGAAATCGCATTTGATTAGAGCGCCAGATTTAGAAACATGAATTTGATTATATAACATTTTTTGATAGAGTTTTGTTCTCTGAGCTAGATGGTTTAGTCGTAACCATCCAGCTCAAAGAACAAAACTCCATCAAAATTATCCACCTGAGCTACAAATCTTCTCCACTATCTCAACATTTTTTTTAGAATTTAGGATCATACATTAATCAATCGTTTAATATTAATGTCAATTTTATCTAGTTCTTAGGTCTAACCATAATCTATCAATCAATTTACAATGTAATTTCTAATTTAAGTAATGTAAAATTATAGTATGTCATGTTTTCTATCAAGAAGTTAACGGAAATCGACTAACATTGAACGTGGATAATAGGGTAATGGTAATACCTTCAACTATAACAGTAGATAATTCAGGACTCTACAGTTTTGGATTCTTGTTAGTGACGTCTGTGATAGTTATGTATTCTTTTTCTAGCTCTATGAAAATCTTGTATTTTTATTATTCCATAGACAGATTTAGACTGTGGACAACGTAAGTTTTAAAGAACAAGTTCAATAACCTATACTATAATATGTTATGATTTAAGACCGTGTAACTTATATTACTGTAGGGTGTTAGTTGTTTCATCTACTAAAGATGTGATTATAAAATTAATTCTTTGGGATAATGGTAATAAAGTTTGTTAAATACTTTACAAAAAGATCAATGTCATAATAAACTGTTTGTGAAGTGTTTTTACTAATAATAAATGAATAGTTATGACCCACTATTGTGTTTGTCAAATCTTTTCATCATTTAGATGATGTATGTAGTTATTTTTTTTCAATAATTAACTAATTTTAGCCCCCTCAAGATGTTGATGACTACATGCAACGTTCTAGAGCAATGGTAAAAGGTCCAGTTGGTGAAAATGTAACCATGTATCAAGATATCCGGGTAACAATGGTGAGTTGTAGTATATATACTTACTTACTTACTTACACCTGTTACTCCCGATGGAGCATAGACTACCGACTAACATTCTCCAACCCACTCTGTCCATGGCTTTCCTTTCTAGTTCTATCAAATTGTTGTTCATTCTTCTCATATCTGTCACCATTTCTCAGCGTAATGTGTTCTTTGGTTTTCCACTTCCCCATTGGCCTTGAAGATCCTAAGTGAGAGCTTGATTTGTGATGCAGTTGTGTGCCTTTCTCAATGTGTGTCCTATCCACTTCCAGCGCTTCTTCATGATTTCTTCCTCCTCTGGAATCTGATCTGTTCTCTCTCATAGTAGATTTTTGTTGATAGTGTCTGGCCAACGGATCCGAAGTATTTTGTGTAGACAACTGTTAATAAACACTTGTATCTTAGTTATATCGAATAATGTGTTTAATTGAAAATTCTGTAAGTGAATAAATATGTCTTGAAGTCAATAGTTTCAGGACGAGCAACACTCTTCTACACTTATCTGTTCAAGAAAGAAAAAAGCTCTTAGGAAGTAGCAAGTAGATAATTCAACAAATCAGTTATATCAAAAGGGTTTTTTGTGGATATTATAGTAATTTTTAATAGTTGAGATCATGAGTCAATTGAAGCTTGACTATCATGGAAAACCCGGAAGCACTGAACGGCATTTTTGTCTTATTGTATGACTCCTCATCACTGCGCATCCACGATATTATTAACTGTAGCAATTCCATCTTGTAATACTGTTCATTCAGTAAGCTAGTGTTTGATCAATAGCAAGTTCTACTCGAGTGAATTTATTCAACTTAAACTGATGGTTAGTCAATCGTAAATTGATGATATAAAAATCAGTGTATTCAGATATAATGATTAATTTTTGACGTACTACAAATCCTCATGCATTCCCTTTACCTTTTTCTTGTATCGAGTCATATTAGTTTTGTTCAGATTGACTAATATTTAATGGTAACTTGATTTGTTTTACCATCAATCTTTGCTTATTCTACAACCTGTTGAAGAAGTATTTTTGAGACGAAACTCCTTAAAGTTTATATTTTCTAACTAACTAATAGTTACAATGCTAAAAATGTTAACTTTATACATCTTTTTAAATACATATAATAACAGTAAAGTTATTAGTCTGATAGACTGTTGAAATAGTTCGGTTACTTGACAACTGCTATAATATCGTATTAAATTATATTTTAATCTTTGGTTACATGTGCTAAAGTTGACCAGAAGTAGGTGTATTAAAAGTATGTAGCTTTAATCATTGAAATTTCTGTGCAGTTGTTAGTTATTTACTAATTTAAAGGTGTAACAAAGGTTTACTATATTAAACGAGTTTTTCCATATGCATAACAATTTCGTTTAACCATTTGTTTTAAAAAGAGTATTTAATTGTTTATTTAATTTGGTTTTACAGAGTTATGGCTTCTTTAGTACAATGATATTTTTAGGGCTTTCAATCCTCATTTTATGAAATACTAATTTTTTTCAAGCATTTAGTCGGAACAAGTATTCTTTACCTGAGATTATTTATTAGTTCTGAAAATTTGCTTTTAAGCTTTTATTTTGCATCTCATAAGCTCAAATCAGTTAATAAAACTACTGTTTATCTCATTAGGGACCACCTGGTGAGCCAGGTGCACCCGGATTCCCAGGAGTCATAGGCACACCTGGACCGATCGGACAACCTGGGCTGATGGGAGATCCCGGTCCATCGGGAAACCCTGGATCGCGAGGACATGCTGGGCCTGTTGGAAATGATGGAAAAGCTGGACCGATAGGAAGACCTGGGTTAAAAGGTGCTCGAGGACCACGTGGCATACCTGGAGTCATGGGAGAAGCTGGGCTTCCTGGAGCAATGGGTCTACGAGGTGAACGAGGAGAACGTGGAGAAGAAGGTATCAAAGGAATGGCTGGTGATTATGGGCCGAAAGGACTACCAGGACCTGTAGGACCGAAAGGTTCGATCGGTCTTCAGGGTCAACGAGGTGAACCGGGCCCCAGAGGATTCATGGGACTGCCAGGACCTATAGTATGTCTCTGTTTTTATCAGTTATTACTTTTGTAATTATGAAGTTCATATCTTTATCATTTATAACAATTCTAGTAGTGTACTTATGTCGATATGAGATCAGACTTCCAGCGAACAGTTTTGGAAGACAGTAAATCTTCTTTTGTATACCGTAAGCAACTAATCTAAGTCTTCTATTTACAAAATATTCCAAGCGGTGACTAACTTATATATATTTTAAACCATTTTTAAACTTCATGGACTTAGTTCAGTATAGTGTTCTCCACTAAAAAGATTAATTTAGTAATTAATGAGTGCTTTGTATCATACATATCGATCGATTCTTTTCACGTACAGTGCGACTGTAATGAACGAAGACTCTCTGGGGAAAATCAATTTGTCTGATGGAAAAACCATACAGTGGCTTAGTAAAACATGAAATCATACATTAAATAAATCATTTGCACATCTTCTTTAAGTTGTCCTTTTCATACTCCATTATCTCTTTAGTTGTATCGTTATTTCGTTCGCTCTCCGATTTTCTTCCTGTTCTCTTTGTTTCAATCTTCTGCTGTCAGACATTTCACTTCTGATTTTCGTTGTGTACTACTTATATCTGTCAGTATAAGTAGCATGCACCACACGACCACCGACTAATGCTATTTGAAATTATTGATTACAACAGACTCGATGGGGAATAGGACTTAAAACTACAATATTATTGAAGGAAAAAAGGTATGGTATAAGTGGTTTATGGATTTTCAGTGAAACCAAGAAGTTATTTATGAATAAAATGATGTAAAGTAATATGGATAGAAACTGGATATGGGATGTAAAAATATCTGAACAGTCACAAAGCTAGAAGTTACTAAACATATAAAGAGTTATGATTAATTAAAATCAGGCTTGAATTCTGACTACAGAAATAAAAGGGTAGTACCTAGGTGTTCATTTAAATGTCAAAATTCTATGTTGCAAACCACGGATGACTTGAATAGTTTGATATACTTATATATAAGAGATTTCAAGTTTATGGTTAACAAGTAATTTCTTATATTTGTTATCACATATTAACATCTTTATATTGTTGTTTATTTTTAACTTTTAGGGAGTTGATGGGACAGATGGTGTTCCGGGAGCACCAGGTGATCCTGGAGCACCTGGCCCCCAAGGAAGTCCTGGGTTGCAAGGCCCAGAGGGACCTAAAGGTCAACCTGGTCTTCCTGGCCCTAAAGGAGAAGTCGGTTTCCCCGGATTACGTGGAGATAGGGGGGCGCCAGGACCACCTGGCAATCCTGGAAAACAGGGTGCACATGGACCTCCAGGGGCAATAGGTAATAAAGGAGAGCCGGGAGATCGAGGACACCCTGGAAAACCTGGGATGATGGGAATCAGAGGATTTTCTGGTGGAGAAGGAGAAATAGGTCTTGTGGGTGCGAAAGGACCAGAAGGCTCGGTTGGATTGCAAGGTGCGCAAGGTTTGCCAGGACCAGAAGGTATCAAAGGTCGTCGCGGTGAACGTGGCCCGCCGGGACCAGTAGGTGAACAAGGTAGTAGAGGTATACGTGGTTCCGCTGGGCTATCAGGAGCCCCTGGGCACGAAGGCAGTCGCGGTCTTCCAGGACTTCGTGGTCCTCCGGGTCCTGAAGGCCCACCAGGTGCTATTGGTCCAGGTGGAGCACCTGGCATAACTGGTCCCGTTGGTGAGAAAGGAGCTCAAGGAGACATTGGCCCAAGTGGTCTCAAAGGCCCTACCGGTCCTAGAGTAAGTTAACGATATTCCACTTTTCAATATTCGGTCAAAGTAAATCTCTATCACACTAGAAATAAAAGAATTTTATAAATATCGAGAAGTTTAGATGTTATTTGAACAAGTAACTTCAACAGTAATGTTCTTTTATTAATGTTTTTCGTTGAATCAATGATAATCTTCAATGATTTGATTAATTATGTACTAGAACACAGAAAATTACAAATTTATAGGACTAAGGTAGAAAGTAATCACAATACGACAGTATTGGACTACTTCAAATAATTAACTATTTATGCGTCATTGTTGATTTAGATGTAGTGTGAAGGAGTTTCACTTTGATTATTGCATAATGTTCTGTGTAGTTTAATGAAAACTAAAGAAAATACTTATGGTTTAACCATTTTATGACAAGTGTCATTATTAGAAAATATTCGCAATAGTTAATCTGACAATCGAAAAATAGTATCATGCCGAAAAATCATGTCGATTAAAATATATGATTAGTATAGGATTGTGGGGATTATAAAGTTTTTGATTGAGATCATGAACTGACTGATGTTAGACCACCATTGAAAACCCGGGAGAGGGATCGTGGGTGCACACTACTGAAGAGTCCTACAATAGAACGAAACGGTCGTCCAGTGCTACTAGGTTTTCAATAATGGTCTACCATCAATCAGTTCATGATTTCAATTAAAATATATGAAATAGTCTTGTAAATCATACTTCAAAAATAACTCACATATCTCAATTTTTAGTATATTTATTGTGATATAACAGTGTGTCGAAGTAATTTTTCTAGGATACACGTATAAATTTCAGTCTTCAATATCGATATTGGGAAATTACAAATCCTTACTTATACCTTTATATCCGTTGAGCAAGTTATTGGCTATTTGAATCCAGCACTTTAGTAGATAAAGCGCTAAGTTTGAAGTGAAAAGCACTGAGTTAAGCCCTCAATTTGAACATCAACATTGGTGCTGGTACATCCGAATGGCGAGAGCCCAATAGGAAAAATAAGTAGGCACAATAGATTCCACTGCAAGCTACATACCAAATGTACAAGATTTAATAATCGTCACTCACTCGATGATACTCCAAAATTAAACGTTGATTTTCATCATGGACTAATACAATGTGGAGAGCAATGGAAAACTAGAAAGTGTTGTACAGCTGTGGAGTCTGAATATAAGACCTTTCAGGATCTCTTAAGTCATATAGAACTGAACATTGAACTTTCAGGTTTCGTAGTACAAACTATGTCTTTAAAGTATCAATTAAAAACTGAATGGTCCAAATTTCCTTAATTTAGTCAATTGAAATTTGAAGGAGGTCTAATAGTTGAACTAAAAACCAGCACATTAGGTTGTATCATATTGAAGTAATGAATCTAGGAATCATAACGAAATGCTAATACTGGCTGCATTAGTATAAAATACCCACAAAAAAAAGCTATAACTTAATACAAGTTTATATTATTATCTAAAAGTATAATATTCAATTGTTTAACACATGTTAATGTAATATTCATTTCATTCAGGGTTCAGTTGGGAATCGTGGACAACCAGGACCAACTGGTGAACCTGGTCCTAAGGTTAGTTTTCGAGTTGAAAAAATTATTATGTTTCTTGTTTTTAGTAAAACAAAAAATAAATAAATTCAATAACCAGTAAGTGCATTTGTAAAGTCGTTAGTACTACAACACTGTACAAAATCTTAGTTTTCATTGGGAATATTATATATTTAAATATAATTATGAAGGATAATGTGTATTATTATCCAATTAAAGGAGGTCTATAAACAAAATTCGAAATTGCAGTGATTATATCAAGCTCAAAAGATTAAGCTTTCTAAACTTATTCAATATAACAATTGTAGATATAGAAACAAAGTATAATAACATAAGTAACTGATTTCGTCATTAAAGAAGAATTATATACAGTTTCCTTTGTGATGATTGCATTTCATCAAACTCTAAAGTCGTATTAATAGTGACATAATCTATTGAAAAATATTAAGGCCTTGTGTTCGAATTCCGCGAGCGGGATCGTGAATGCAAACTACTGAAGAGTCCTACAATAGGAAGAAACGGCCATCCAGTGCTTCCAGATCTTCAATGGTGATCTAACATAAATCGATTCATGATCTTGATAAAATTTTCATCTGACTGTCACTTTTCTCGAAATTTATATTTGTACTAGCTAACATAGCTCATTGGGGTAGACTCTAGCTAAATATGTGTAATACATTTTTCAAACAACTCAGTGGGGAAAGGTTTAATACCTTATCAAATGACTTACTATCACTTTCTAGTATCATATGACTGATCGCAACTTTACTCGAATGAGGGTTCTAGAGTATACATCATCACTTAGAAAGGGCTTATGATCAGATATTATCAACCAACTCATGTCTCTAACCTCAAAATATCATGTCTCCTAGCTATGAAGATAGATAGACCAAGCTGATGTTCTGTTCTTTATCATCGAAACGGAGACCTCGCCCAAGCCACTGGTTAATCAAGGTATTAAGATTCAAGTGACTGCTCTGTACAGATACTGGTAACAATCGTCTAACGCTGACGAGGCTAAAAACGAATGAAGTGATTTGCACGCTCGACTATTTTACTTTATGATATGGAACTAAGCATTAAAGAAAAATCTGTCGGGATTAGAATTCAAAGTAATGATAATAGTATCGGTTAAACATTTCAACATTCTAATCTTTAATGTCCTTCAACAACAATGTGAGCCAATTAATCCTCTTATCCTAATTCAATATTTTTACTACATGGGATTATTTTTCTGACCTCATATTTTTATTTCCTCATTATCACACTAGGGTCCACTTGGATCTATTGGTCGACCTGGCATGCCTGGTGCAGCAGGAATTCCTGGTCCGCACGGCCCTCAAGGAGGACAAGGGTTACGTGGTCTACCTGGTTCAGTCGGGAAGACCGGTGACCCTGGAGCAGTTGGATCAAGAGGTCCCAGGGGTGACAGAGGTCCACGAGGGGAACCCGGACCTCCGGGTCCATTTGGACCGTCAGGTGAGAAAGGCCAACGTGGACAATCTGGCAAACGTGGTCCTATGGGAGCAGAAGGTAGAGTTGGTCCCGAAGGTCCACCAGGGACACCTGGGAAACCGGGTGATCCTGGGCCAGCTGGAGAACCTGGGCATATCGGTCCACCAGGACCTCCAGTAGGTGACATCTGTTTGTTTTCCGTAATGATGAAGTTGTTTGCATATATTACTCACAGTTCGGTATCAAATACAGTTAAGTAGAAATATCTAATGGTTATCTTGATCAGTGGTTACATTTTGAGTTAGATATTGAGAAATTATGCACTCAACATGTCTGTTTTTTAAGATCTGGAAAAAAATTATGTAAATGTTTATTTACGAAAAAACTCGTCTATGTGAGTGTGAATACTTTGTTTGCACACTGTATAATATTATCACAATTAGTTTTCTTACCAGGCGTTAGGGAATGTGATTTTAACTTAAATCCTAACTGTTAAAATACTCTAATATGTAACAATAGTTTATTTTTCTATTAAAAAAATTCACTACACAAATTTTAGTCTAGATTTTCATGAAACCATAATTGTTGCATTGAAATGTACATTGAAACATATATGTTATCAAGTAAATCTATTAATAGTTCCGTTTACACAACCAATCGACTTTGAATACATTTCAGTCCTAAAGAAAGTCAGTCATGACCTGTTTAGCTCAATGGTAGCGCATTTGACCGTGAAGCAAAGAGATATAAAGTTTATTCTACTAAAAAGCATCATTTCACCTAAGATTACTCTTAAACCTTGCTAACGAGTGACAGATAGTACGAAATCTAGGTCTAAGTTTTCCTGTCAACTGCTTTCAACTGCCATCTTACATTTTCATATAGTATATGGATTATTTACTCAATAGCGATGACATAATAATCAGTGTCATTCTTTTTAAACCTTTACGCAGACAATACTTTATCACAAAAAATTGAAATAAGAAATATCCATTATGTTAAATGTTTTGGAGTCAGATGGTACTATTCTTAATGTCAAGTGATTAAAGAGATTATCACACAACCATAAACCTTGGTTAGTTATTCACTTCGACTTATTCATAAAATAAATCTGCATACTAAATCAAATTCCAGCATAAATAATTAGAGTAAACCACGCTTATATGGGCAAGGGTATAATCAAGAGGTTTATAGTTGAAAGTTTCCTTTAATCTCTTCTAATTTATAATTCTTTACAGAATAAAAATTCGAAAGCCGGATTTGAATTAGTACAAATAATTATAGCAGCTATCTCTTGAGAAAAATCTATGAGTAGTCAATACAAGGCTTATTCATTTATTCATTTGCATTTTGTCAAAGAACTAAGCACGATTATTTACAAGTATCAATGTATGTTTGATAATAATATTCACTAACATGGTAAGAGATATGACATGTCAAAGGTTAGCGGAAATAATAATATCAGAACTATTAGTACTTATGTAATAATTTTATGAGCTCACTTTTCTTTTGGATTGTCATTGTCTCCAATAATCAGTTAGGTAAGTGTTCTACTGATCTGAGCTATATACATGTAAAACCTTTGTAATGAAATAAACATTTTCGTCCGGTGAGATTATAATTTATGAACGACCTTGAGCAACGCTAAAGTGACCCTGAAAATGTCCGTCTAATTATTAGGGTTAAATGAGGGCTATAAAACAGTATTAAGAATAAGAATTACGATTTACAATTGATGGTAAGGGTTGGGAATTAGACCTATGGTTTCCATCACGAACTGATATAAACTTAAATGCCGAAACGCTATTTAGACAAATGAATGAATGAATTTCGCGCCAAAATCCGAGACATGTTATCCCAAATTTCATTGGTTCGTGCATATATATAAAAGTACCGCATTTCTCCTTATTGTTTAAGTTTCTAACAGCAGCAAACAAAACAGGAAGATAGTTAGGAAAACTCAGAATTAGGCAGTAGCAACAGCTGGCTAAAAACGACTGTTGCACGTCCTGTTTATTTATAAACTCATAAAATTGTTTTGTAGTGCAAAATGATTTTTTTGTAACTTTTAGGGAGAACGTGGAGCCCCAGGACAAATGGGCCCACCGGGCCCACCTGGAAGGGCTGGGGACAAAGGAGCTTCAGGTCCAGTTGGACGTGATGGGCTCAAGGGCGACAGGGGTGAAAAAGGTGACATGGGAGACAGTGGGACGGTTGGTGTTCCCGGCCTTGTTGGCAATACTGGAATTCGTGGTGAGAGGGGTGAAAAGGGTGATAGAGGACCCACTGGGCCACGAGGGGAACCGGGCCCAGTGGGAGCTCCAGGACAGAGAGGGTCCGACGGCCCTATGGGACACCCTGGACCGCAAGGACGAACTGGTAACAAAGGGATATTAGGAATTCGTGGTTATCAGGGCGACAAAGGGACACCTGGGGATCAGGGACCACAAGGTATTCCGGGTGATTCAGGTATACCAGGGCCACCCGGCCCACCTGGTTCTGTCGGAATGAAGGGAGTCAAAGGGGAAATGGGTCCACGTGGACCTCGTGGTGAGGCTGGTAACATGGGAATAAAAGGAGTTCAAGGACCACCTGGGCCTAAAGGTCACCCTGGATTACCAGGTCAGCAGGGTGATAGAGGCCAACCAGGTGTACAAGGAGATCAGGGGTCGGAAGGTTTAATTGGAGAACCTGGACCTCAAGGACCACCAGGAGAAAATGGTCGACCAGGCCCACCAGGACCTGCTGGACAAACTGGGCCTAAAGGTGAGGCTGGGGACCCAGGACTCGAAGGACCCGCGGGTTCAGACGGAATGGCTGGACTTCCGGGTCCTGCAGGTGATAAAGGGGAACGAGGAGACCCTGGATTACCGGTAAGATTACACTGCTATTTTGAGTGAACAATATATGTTTCAACTGGCATATTATATTACTTGTACGCCACAGTTACACAGTATTTAAATGTATTATTTTCAAATAAGTTTTATCTTAGAACATTCCTATCTATTGTGAATTTTTCACTTCATAAGAGTATATCTTTACTGGTTATTTTACGGTGTTGTAATTATTTTGATCATACACACTATAAGTACATTCATTTTGTTGAAATGGCTAATCCAGACTACTTTTGGATATTACTTATATTTTACCATAGTAATGCTCTTTTTTCAGAAAACTAAAACACTAAAAGAGTAAATGTAGATTTAATCTGTATCATTTGGATAAGTGTGAATAACTGACAACTTAATTAAACCTAATATTCCATTAACCAATGAAGTAAAATATCATAACGACGAAAACTGGGGCTTGTAATAAAAAAAAGCATTGAAATCTGCATGATACAAAGAAGAAGGTGAAAATTTATAGCTAATGAATATTTTATTTAACCCCCCAAAAATATGACAACCACTTAACTACAATACACTGATCTGTATAACGAATGTATTGAAATTTAATAGTTGGTCAAATAAATAAAATAAGATGAAATGTTAGAAATGAATTTTATGCAGAATTCATGCAAAACTTATGCTGTACGAACGAAATTCACACTAAATTGTCACTAAACGAACTATATATATAAATCATACTGAATTAGTTGAAATCATGAACAGATCGATGTTAGACCAATATTAAAAAGTTGGAATCACTAGACAGCTATTTCGTCTCAGTACACAACTCTTTTTGTGGTCCAGTATATGACTCTAGTTTCATCATATGAAGATGCTATGAATATAAATCTTTCATTTAACGCTGAATATTATCTAGGCTAATCCCATTTGTGTAACGGCAGTAATAAAGAGCAAATACGGGTTCCATTGTAGGGATTTATTTCATGCACTCGTTTATCATGACAGATATTTCAAATAAGAAGCGGCAAAACGAAGCGAAAAGGAGCAGAGAACGCGAGTAAGCCAACTCGATTGGACAAAGCATAACTCAACATTTATAATCAGGCAAAAATAAGCCAAATACATGTGATGAACAGGGTAAGCAATACAGAAACATACGCTTATATAGAAAAGTCAAGGTTACTAAGTGAATAATTAACAAGTTCAAAATCCGATTCAAGAAGAATGAATAAACTAGTCCGTTGGGAAGCTAGAGTAATCTATATGGGTTTGACGCAGTAATAGACACTACACTCCTCAGAAGTGCACTCCCACTACATTGCAAGTGGGAATCGAATCCCGGGCCTACGATCTTGCGCTCGAACGCTTAGCCTCTGGACTACTGGGCTTGGATCTAATGTCGTTAATATCTACCTTCAATTGCGCGTGAAGCCGAAGATCCTGTGTTCGACTCCCACACGCAGGGTCGTGAACGCCCAATGCTCAGGAGTCCCGTTCCAGGGAGAAATGGTCATCCAGCGCTTCCAGGTGTTCAGTTGTAATCTAACATTGATCTTTTCATGATTTATCAAGTAAAGCTTTGCATAGATGGTGTGTAAGAGGTAGATTGAAAAGAGTTCAGCTTCAAGTTATTTAGGTTTACACTACAGACAACAATTTCAACGACTACTGTATTTTTTATTTTATAAATTAATCTCATCACTTTTCATAAACTGAATAACTAGCAGTAATTATTGTTTACTCTGAATTATCGGTATAGAGTTGTGCAGATTTTGGAGTTTTTATTGAAATCATGAACTGATCACTGTTAGACCGCCATTGAAAACACAGAAACAATGGACGGCCATTTCGTCCTGGTATGGATGTGCACTTCTGAGAAGTCCCATACTGGGATGAAACAGCCGTCCGATGCTTCCAGGTTTTCAATAGTGCTTTTACATTGATCGGTTCATGATCTCATTAGAACTCTGGATCAATTAAATCATTTTTTTCTAATCGATTCACTATGTATATGAATTGTATTGATGAATATAAAAAAGAAACGGATTATCTTACACCTACATGGATTAGCTAGATCTGTCTAATAAGCTCAGCTACTATGTTGCCGGTGAATACATAATAATTTTTTCGAAATATTTTAAGACCCATTTTAATGAATGGTATCTGAATACCCTCTTATTTCATTAATCCACTAAAAGAACGAAATAATTTTTCAAAAAATTATTTTATCTGTTTTTATAGACTTTTATTCTATAATCTAATATGATTAAACTATTTAAAAAGTAAATATTAGAATATTATTTTTATCTCGTTAACCTTTTCTCCCATAGGGTACAGTAGGTCCAATTGGACCAGATGGTGATCAAGGACCAAGTGGTGCACCGGGAAAAATTGGACCAACGGGACCACCTGGTAATGTGGGGAAACCTGGCGAAATGGTAATATATGCATTGTTTTATTCTTTTAATCTGCTTAAATAAAATTGATTCAATATTTTAGTAGTAATTTCTATTTATATAAAATAAAAACGTTGTGATTGATTAAAACTTATTGTGAAAGTCTGCATCTTTGATATTCTGATAGCTTTGCTTGATATTTCCAGGGTCCGCCAGGAAATGCTGGTTTACCTGGAAGAACAGGTTTACCTGGTCCTCCTGGAAAAGACGGTCAGATGGGAAAACAAGGTCCTCGTGGTGAAGAGGGACCTCGAGGACCAGACGGGAATGCAGGAATGCAGGGCCCACCCGGGGCTTCGGGTGTTAAGGGTCCTCCAGGAAGCAGAGGACCAACTGGTCCAACTGGAATCAGAGGACCGCCTGGACTAATTGGACAACCTGGACCACCAGGTAAACAAGGAAGTCAAGGAAGACCTGGAAAACCAGGTCCAGATGGATTTGAAGGGAAACGAGGTCCTCCGGGTGAAATAGGAGCACCTGGAGTTCCTGGAAACAAAGGACTAGTGGGAGACGAAGGAGAACCTGGCTCAAGAGGTGCATCCGGAAACATGGGTCTTACTGGACCACCTGGTGATGGTGGACCTCCTGGATTGCCAGGAAGTCCAGGTTCAAGAGGACCACAAGGACCAATGGTAAGTTATTGTACGACATTTAAAAATTGTGGTCACATTCCTCTTATTTACTTGTTTACTAAGAAAACAAATGTATTTTAGCCTCTCTTTTTAAATTATGTTGAGTGGATACGACACGATAGTCAAATAACTGATTACACAAAACCAATTTATTCTGAGTTGGAAATTTCTTCGACAAAGCTGTCTCCTGAATATTAGGATGAAAATTTCCGCAAATTTACATTAAATACCAGATCAGTTTCCCCGATGACTGAACAACTAGAAGGAATTATCAGATTTGAAAAAAGATTTTAGAAGGTCACTTCCAAATTACAGATCTAATTTTTCAGTAGTTCAACTTCAAGACCTGGTTATTTAACCAGATTTCAACATTTGGCTGTCCAACTAACGTGGCAGTTGAATACTTTACTATTCCAAGTATCTGAAATAAATTTGAAACTTAACCAACAATTCATTCTTGTAATTTAATCTAGCAAAATACATTGTGCTATCAATTTGAACGACTTTGATAGTTTAAATTCTATTAAGATACATGCTTTCATTCAACTTCAACTATCATTATGGTACCAGTAACGAAATGGTAATCCAAACGATAATTTTGATACGTTTATTTTAAATTGGCCAAATATAACTTTATTTAAATAGATTTATGAAAGTTTAGTAATTTTGATAGGTATTTCTCATAGCATTTGATAATTATAAAAACTAGTAAGCTTTAAACAGATTGATAGAACTAGTATAGGGGTTGTGGAGATTATTAAGTTTTTGATTGAGATCTTGGACGCGCACTGCTGAGGAGTCCCACAATAGAACGAAACGGCCGTCCAGTACTTCCAGGTTTCCAGAGGTGATCTAACACTAATCGGTTCATGATCTCAATCAAGATTGATAGAATTCGATCACCACTAAAGTCTAGACGAGCATATCATTGATACTACTCAGTAACTATTTCTTCGCATATCAGGACTGTCCCTGTAGTGAGCATCTACAATCGTATATATGACGAAATTTAACGCTTTAGAGTTTGTTTAGAGCATGATGCTTTTGAGCCGTCAAGTTTAAATCCAATGATTCGAATTTTTTATCATTCTTTTATTCATATAACACAATCATTTACTAGTATTATCTGTAATTTACTGTTTCACTCATCAATCGATTTCTTATGGCTACTCCTTACAACTTTTAATCAGAGGGTAGCTACTCGTGATAATTAGTGATTTACGGCCTACTACTATATAATTCGCAAGATGTTATCTGACAGATTGATTAATGTAGGTTATCTCCTAGCCAACTATATCGAACAGCAGTATTCATCAAACTGAAATCAAACATTATTCATCTATTACAATATTATTTTTAGAACTAAATAAGAAAATAATCTGTGTACAGTTGTACCACACAGCCATATTTTTAGATATTTCAAGTATATGTTTTTTCTCATTAATACTTAACTTAACCAAAACTACTACTCAATAGTAGGAAACCTAACTTTGTGCACTTAAAATATCACCTTTGTAAAAATTGCGATTGAAGAGCTCAACAGGCAAATAATGTTTTTTTTTACTAAAACTTCAATCAAAAATTGTTAAATCGCGTATGTTTTCTATGTGTTTAGCTGTGTATTTAATTATGATATATTTAATCATGTCATTCATTAAATGAATTCCTAGTGTCCCTGATGACTAGATACTTGATTTTTTAGTCAATCATATTGTTATATATACTGACAAATAACTTTTGATGTTACTTGCCTAGGGTGAAGTTGGCCTAAAAGGTGAAACGGGTCTTCCAGGAGTTCCAGGACCAATTGGGCAACCAGGACCAATGGTACGTGATAATAGTTGATTGACTAATATATTTATTATATAAAAGTAAACAACTTGATCAATGAAATATTTAACTACTATGTTAGTCATCTAAGACAATCTGTTCGATTCTTAGCATAAGAGATCGACATTGACTGAAATGTAATTACCTGATGATTACAACTTTTCAAATACACTCACAAGGTTGTGTTACCTTAAAAAGTAAATAACTTGTGTGAATGGGTAATTATCACGCAATTTGCTGTAACGATATTCAACTTGTCATCGGAGGATGAAATGTTTATCGTTACTTTTAGGCTAATAGAAGTTGCGAAAGTATGTATGATGTTTTGTTTTTGTACGTTCTCACCGTTATTTATTTGGGGATATTTACGTCGTTTAGTTTTATTGTAACGTTATTGAAATTTTCACAGGGACCACCAGGTATTCAAGGTCCACCGGGTGAACCAGGACCGCCAGGAAATGATGGTCCTCCGGGAGCCATTGTAAGTGAATTTTATTCTTGTATACAATATAATTTTTAAGATTTTGGAGTGATATTCTGTTCGAAATCAGCGGTTATGTAAAATATTTTACCATAGAAAATGAACTGCTTGTTCTTACAAGTATTTGTTAAGTACTGGCGCCAGAGTTATTCAAACTAATTTGATTAATCAGATAAATTAATTTTTGTTAAGTCCCGATAAACACAATGAATTAACTTTGGGATCCTTTTATGGACCAATACTAAACGTATATTTTTGTCGTATAATTGTTAATTAACTAAACTATTCATATTCCTGTCTCTCTTACCATAAGCTTTATTTTACCCTATGAACTGTTATTATACGATTTTCCATTCTTCAATTATTCCCTATCTATTAATCACTACCTACCACATTCACAGCCACACTTGGCCAAATTTTGTACAAATGTTATTTTCTATTTTATGGTACGATTTGGTCTGCTTGATTGTTATATAAACCCAGTATGTTTGAAATACACGATTCATATTGCGGAGGCTGCGGTTGAAATTCCGGACTTAAATGGCTGAGCTAGGCGGAAAGCAGGACCAATCAAGACTCTAGGCTGCTCATACGGGTTTACGTGTCATTGATCCGATCGATAAGTCACTGCTCTCTAATCGGCGGTCGCAAAATATAACAACTTTAAACGTTAAAATGAAAATGAGCTTAATTCAGCGCTTGTTGAACACCAATAATAAAATCAAGCCATCTCCCTTGTTCAGTAGTAAAATTTTCTTCCTCCAAATCTGTTGTCGTACAAGTCTGTTTCCCATATAGACAAATAGTAAATTATCTCTTAATGACATGTTTATATAAATGTGTAACATCGGATACCAACTTACAGCGAGACTTGAGGATCGTACGTTTGTTCCCCCTAAAATCTTTGGGTATGGATTGTTGATGTACCTCATAATAGAAATAAACATCTGTTCGGTACTTCTTGAGCCTTAATGGTAACTTAACGAATGTAAAACCATGATAAATATCACTTGCAAATTAAATTAACTTCTACAAAACTCCATCACAAAGATACACATGTAGCCTAAATTTTTTCCAGTATCATTTAAAACCGTTTTAAAGCGTAATTGAATTGGTTGCCTTATTTAATTCATCTATGAATTTCTTTTATATTGATTCTTGAATAGGGTTTGCCTGGACCACCGGGAGAGTTTAAAACTGACTATACATCATTGTTTAGTCGTAGAAGAGATTCAGATGCTGGAATGATGGTAAGGCTGAAAAGTTAATTGGTAATATATTTAACAGATATTTACTGAATACAATAAAAAATGCATGCATATAACGTTTTTGCTAGTAGGATAGTTTATGGACGTTTTGTATGTTGTTTTTTTCAATGTGTGAATCACAGTACAGTTTTGTTCAAGTTTAAACAGTTTTTTAAGGTGGTTTTGGAAATAGATTCATTAATGAAGTACTGACACCTACTAGAAATCCATTGCAGGCCAGAGAAAACTGAAAAGCTATTTTTTTCCAAATTTTAGACTGTTTAACAAGATATCCTCGTAGCTTGACATGGGATCAAACTTAAGATTTTCGAATTTTGGTTCTTAGTAGCTTAGTGAAAATGTATGGCTGTTAAAAATCAGCTAGGTTATTAGTGAAACAAATATCATCAAAAATTATCATGCTGTATATCTAATAAAGTCACTGAATTCCACCTAAGTTATAGAAATCGTCGACTTTAGGCCAGCATGGAATCATGTTCAAGTAAAGATGGTGAATTCTAAAGCCATTCAATACTTCCTGGTTTCAAATAACTCTTCAGTTAATGTCAATACATAGATAAACTGTTATCAGATTAACAAGATTTTGTGACATTATTTAGATTTGAGTACGCTGTGAAATTATGGACTCGTGTTGCATCCTATTTAAAACTTCTCAGATATATCTACTTTCAACACATTGAGATATGATCAACTCAGTGTAACCTAAAACATAGTAGTTATTGCTTCAAACTCGTAATTCTCAATCAAGGGAACGACTCATTCATGTTTTGTTATTTGGAGCTGACAAACAAATTACTAAGGTATTCATGTATACAAAACAAAATGAAATGAAAGTCTAGTTTAATTAATTCTCTCCATCATGTCAACAAGTACATATGAAAAAAATAATAAACGGAAAATCTTTGAACTTAATTACATTTCAAACCGGCTTCATAAAAGATTGAGCTCATTCTATATAAATTAACAGTTTTAGCCAACCTTACAGATAACTATTGTCGTTAGAGTCATATTCAATTTTGAAGTATTCTATCATTAGTCTGTCTATTATAAGGCTTTTTGTTGATAAAATTGATTAGAAGGAACTAACGTAGTTGATGCAAGATCATTACAGAAATGATAAGAACAGAAACAAGGAAGGAAAATTTTAAAATAAGTTTTAAAAAAATGTAAATGTAAATAAAATCATGAAAATGAATGGGATTCTACATACCGTTTCAGTATATACGGATCTGCTTTTTTGATTGCTTATAGCTACAGTATCTACAATTCAAAGGAGATAAAAATACACACTTTTCTGTTGATTAAGTCTGATCCTATATATGATATAGAATGGAAAGTCGGATACTATTTGGCCAGTCATTTATAGTGTAATAAACGATTTTATAGTTGTAAATAGTATGCTGAATTATGTAAATAAGTGATTGTTAGCTTATCTGAAAATGTTCCGCGTTGGATGATCTATATAGCTAACTTTATAAAAGCAGGTGAATAAGTATGTGCACATTGAGATAATCTGTCAAAGTAGTTTGTCCTTCACTCAGGGACAAACCAGTAAGTATTTAGTAAGAATTATAATTCGAAAATTTAGTATTCAGTTTTACATTTTCTTATCTTTTTGATAGTTTCTCTCTTGCCTCGTTTTTTTTTATTATTGTACCTGTCTGAAATAAAAACAAACAAAAAAACGTGAACTCATTTAGCAAGCCGATGAACCCCGTAATAGAGGAAGGAGAATACGCCGTTCATATGAATGGAGTGATGAAGATTATGACCCAAGTAAAGAAACTGATCCTAATGATGAGGTAAGCGGAACTGACGAATACAAATACTGTTAAGTATTTTATGGTGTATACTTGTAATCTTGTGTGATTATCATTCTGATAACTTTGAATATGTCTGTATAAGCCGATATTATCACAAGATTCATTGTTCAAGGTTATTTATAATAATTAAACCAAATACTTAGTTGACTAGATAGGTCGTAGAAATTATTAGACATTGAAAGAAGGAATGTGATTCATTAGCGCATACCTGTAAATTTTATTCTGCTTTCTTCTACATACACGTGATGTATTTCACCATGAAAATAATACTAAGTCTCATACTGCCTTGTTCTTTAGTTGTTCTACTTTAAAAATCATATGATTCATGAGGTAAATAAATATCCCTTTCCTGTACTTTTAAAGGAGGTTGCGGGCTCATTGTTAACCTGCTTAATAATCAAAGCAGATTAGCGGGAAAATGAGAACATTATAAGAAACTCATACTAGCTAAAAGATGCATACGATCACTCTTCAAAACTTTTAACAATGGAAAAAGCTCTATATAACCTAGCTCTCTACCCATGTTTAAATCTGCGATTGATACTTGGATCTCTAACACAACATTTGATGTACTTTGCTAGCCAATAGACATAAGATTCTCTGCCGTAAACTATATGTTGGCTATTAAATAATCACAATCTAGTACAAAACAATTACATAATACCAGAAATTTTCAATGGTTTTTTCGACAACACTCATTAACAGTAGAGAATATCTTCAAAGTTTGCCTCCTACCTTCACAATAATCTTCAATAGGATATTTTCATGATATTCAAATGCTATTTGGTCTTAATAAAGTCGATTACTTTTACATCTTCCATTACAAAATTTTGATTTTTCTTTTTTTAAACACCATTTTCCAACTAAAAATAAGGAGGAAGATATTTTTGAAGCATTGCGTCAAGTTGGAAGACTTGTGAATAGTTTGAATAGTGGGAGTGGAACACAATTCAATCCTGCACGAACATGTCATGATTTAAAAAGAGATCACCCAGAGAAAAAAGACGGTTAGTCGATAATTTATTTTTCGCCTATTTAAAAGAATCCACTACCAGTTTCTTTATAGTTCACGAAAACAATAATTTATTAACAGTACTAACTGTTATTCCGTTTTGCATTCAATATTGAAGCAATGGTCTTTTTGAAAAAATATATAATTAAGCAAATGTGCTTTTTGTTAAGTTTAATGATTAGGGAGTTTCTAATCTTATGGTAGTTACAATTGCCAACATAACTTCAAAAAAACTGACGACACGGGAATTTTTTAATTTAGTCTAATTTGTTGGTTATATGAGGTTTCTTGCTGATTGATTGAAATCTTTTATTTTATTCATGAATATATATGACTGTCTCTTGTTTGACTGATGCCAAAAGTTACTCAACTTATGAGTTTAAGGCACACTATCTACTATGTTCATGTTTATTAAAATTACATTACATACAATGACTAGTTCATCACTCAAATCTCTCTTATTAGCAACCTTATCTGATAAGATAAGAATCTTTCATATTCATTTAATGGGCTACAACTATTTGAAATTATCCGTAAAATTATTTATCACTGAGTGATCGATTTCTCAGTGTTTGTTCATTTCGTTAACTGATTCGACTACTGATTGATTGGAGCAGAAAATACTTTTTGTTCTTAAACAGCAATAAAAGTCTGGAATTAGTCAACAGAAAAAGAAAATGACAAAATCAGTCGTTATTTTAGTCATGTGTGTTAACCTGATGAATAATTCAACAGAAGACAATGCAAACGGGTGATTTTTAAGGAATATGACGTAAAAAAGATATTTAAAACTTTTTTAATTGGTATTAGTGTAATGTAACACTTGGTACTAGTGTATGTCATGTTGCCTAGTCCCTATTTCTGATCAAATTCCATGGATTAAGTTTCAAGATGACCACTAGTCAGGGTAACTTGATGTAGAACTCACCATATCTTACCGTTAATAAACTGAGGTTCAATGTTTCTGGTTGACTATGTTCAACCAAACAACAATTTAATCCAAATTTATTTGGAATCATAATCTAAAACTTTATTATGATTAAAGTGACAGTACTATTGAGTTTTTGATTAGTCTAATTCTGTACTAAACAATTTCCATCATAAGTTAACATCGGGTAGAGAACTAGTAGAGATAAGGAAGCATTCGACAGCTACTTCATTCTAGTCTAGGACCGCTCAACAGTGTACACCTAAGATGTTGTATATGATTAAATCTAGAACCCATATATTTCAAGCCCAGCACAAAACTGAGTCATTTAGATGAAGTTTCTTCCTCTGAGCTGGCTGATTTAGTCGTGTAGCTTTCATCGTTTTTCTGAACGACATCATCAGCACAAAATTCAGGTAGAACTGAAATGTTCGAATTTATCCACATGTGGTTCACAGCTTGTTCTGTAGACCTCTATGTTGATTGGTTCTTGTTGACCTTAAACCTGCCCTTGTTTACTTCTTTGTTTTGGTAGTATCTGCCATTGGTTCGATTTTTGTTCCTATGTTTGTGCATAATTTTCCTGATTGGTCTACAGGACAAGCTGTGAACCACCTGTGGATAAATTTGAACACTTCACTTCTACCTGAAGTTTGTGCTGGTGATGTCGTCCAGGAGAACGATGAAAGCTCCACGACTAAACCATCTAGCGTAGAGAACAAAACTCTATCAAAATCATCCACCTGAGTTATAAATCTTCTTGATCATCTCAAAATCAGCTGAGCTATTTGTTCAAAACTTCTAAATTCAGATATTTTAAAAAATTCACACGATAGACACTTTAAGGTGATACGAAGTGTTGAACTATTCTATTCAATGAATCAGCAAAATTTACATATGAATGATTGTTAGCTTAATTCATTATTTTGATGAATTTCTCAAGCTAAACAAACCAAGTTTGAATCTCAATGTAACTTCTAATGAATGTAATATTTAGTACATACATTCCATCAGTAATCTTCATAAAGATGTTATGAGTATCACTTGTCCAATCTCGTTATCATAATCACTAATGTTTAAAATCAAGTCTAATGTTAAAACTATAATTCACACTTAATCTATTGAAGTTAGTTAACTTATTCAAGTTTTCAGTTTTTATTCATTAACAAATACTACTTATATATATGTACATGATTTATCTTAGAATTCTTTTTTCAAATAGGTATGTATTATGTTGATCCAAATGGTGGTCATTGGAGAGATGGAATTAGTGTTTATTGTCGTTTAAGCGGTTTAGAAACTTGTGTTAGTCCTATTACAGAACAAATGTCATCAATTTATTTATCACAAACTAAACAAAAACGTTTATGGTATTCGGAATTTTTAATGAAAACAGAAAATGCTGTAAGTTTGTTTTTGTTTTTTCTTTGTTTTAATAACATTAGGTTTGTTTACTTTTTCTTTGTATAATTTTCATTTAGCCAACTGAATTGATATTTTCATTATGATTGTTTTGTTTAAAATATTATAATCACTGACTGATTTGAAATGTAAACGAAATAGTACCCTTTTGTTGTTGTTCTTGTCGTCGACGTTGTTGTTGTTCTTGAAATGTTTAACAACAAATACATGATATTATACAAATATTAAACTTATAGTAAATATACAAAACTTTTAATAACCATCTAGATCATTTATTGTAGAATATAAAATTTACTAGTGAAACAGTATTTAAAGCTTAATGAAACTTCAAAGCCCGACTGTTGTTGCTACCTTAACATGGTGGTCGGGCTTGCCTATCGTGATGAAACAACCGTTCCTCAAGGTCCTACAATGTCCGACAGGTCGGTTGAAGAGCGGTAAGACTACAAGCAACAAACCCAAGGTCCGAAGTCGTACTGCTGACTGTACAGAGGTGTGGCAGCAGTATGGTGTTTCCTTCGGACAACCAGCATGACAGTGATGCTGCCTTCCCACAAGGAGGGGTGGGGTTAGACAAGGTTGACCCTAAAAATTCACACCTCACCTTATCCCACGGATATCCGTCTCCGGCGATAAGGTCTCAACAAGTACTGAGCTAACACAAAAATTACCCACAAAAAGGTCGTGTGTGACCGATCTCAAGCAGTTGTCCCTTGGGCACTGCGGTCACGCTCTCAGGTCACTATGACCACATCTGATCCAATTTCCTTTTCAGGTACCTCCAGAAACTTCAAAGGGTAAGAATGTTTTTGAAAAATCTTAGCGAAAGAATTTAAAGTAAATCCGTTTCACCTAGTAATCTGGTTCAAGCTTTTTCAAATTCTTTCGCTGAGATTTAACAAATACATTCTTACTCTTTAATGTCTCATTTTGATTCAATTCCTAAATACTGTGAAACCATTCGATCAAATTTAGACGAAAGTTATTATTTAATGAGATTTTATACTATTTAACTGATATTTTGTATGTATTAATTGTGTTTGACTTGTTCTATACTGTTTTCATAATGATCATTTATTTTAATTTACTTAGTTCAAATATTTAACCACTTATTGAGAAGGAAGATTCAGATGGCGACAATCTATATATTTTAATACAATATTGCAGAGTATTTTGGTAAAATGTAAAAACCATACGCTGAATATTATAAGCAAAGATGGATGGTGGCTAGCAGTAGAATCCAGGACGCGCGTTTCGTCCTGTTTGGAACTCGTCAGTTGGATGTACCTGCATCTTAGAGTTGATATTCACTCTGGGACTCGAACGTATTACCGTTCGCATAAAACACCACCACGTTATCCACTTAACTACTGAGTCGTGATATTCACTTGCTTGTGCAATGTGATGAAGCTTAAATTCACTTGGTATTGTTCACTTGAATCTTCCCATTGATGTTTATGTTTGCAGTTGATCAGTCTCTCATTAGCGTATGTGCATACTGTGCGTATTGCCTCGATATTGCCTTAATTCACAAGCATTGGAGGCAAAGATTTTCACGCTAAATACTTTATTTGTAAATTTCCATCATTCATCCTTCACACTCTGCATTATTTTTCAGGTTTATAATTCCATTCTACTTTGTTCAACTTGATCTTCTTAACCTTCTGGCTGCCAGGTTTTACACTTCCGCTCGGTGTTACATACTACTTATACCAGTCGATTTAAGTAGCATACATCACACTACCATTGTTTCAGGTTGCCCTACTGTAATTAACTCATTTATTAAGTACATGTACCTGGCCCTTTGAGAAATTCAATTTTTGTTATGGCTGGTGACGCCAGTCTACTGCATAGGCTGCAATTAATAGGGAGGTTATTGAACCTAATATTGTAAACATTAACCCCCGGTTCGATTGTATACTGTTATAATAACTATAAATGATATCGTTTTAGCAAAAATTATGGTGATTTATACTCTGATGATTGATAGGAAATGTTGATCGTAACACGTTTCAAATACACGAACCTATCTTTTTATGGTAGATCAGGCCAAATTTAATCATCAACCTTTCTGTGTATCTTTACTAGATATATATTTGATTTACCAGACGTATTAGTTTGTAAGGTATTTTCTCAATTCTTAATAAGTCAGTACTTTTCTAATCAGCAATAATTTAGACAATTCTGAAATGGCACAATAGATCGTAATTAGTATTTTAGACAGCCAAATGACAGTGAATGTAAGTAAATACCTATTAAATCGTGAACCATATGGACAAGATAATAATTTTACATGGTGACTGTTAAAATATTTAAGTGTATAAGGGATAAAATGAATGAGATATATTAACGCTTTGTATATGGTCTTGGACGGATGGTGTTCATCATAGTAATACAAAATGAGTTACTGAAACTATTGGTGTGTTCGAAGCTTTTCATTCTGTGAATTTAACAGATAATCTAAGAATATGGTTGGTGATTATAGTCATGTACACAAGTATGACTATTACTTCAAGAGATTGTTTGTCGATCTATGCTGATTATTAGAGTTTTCTGTTGACTATTTTCAATAATCTCATAGAGTATATTATTTTCCGACATGCAAAGTGGTTACTCAGAGAGCTACGTGATATGGATTGAAAATAAAATAGTAGAAATTTATTGGCAAATGGAACCAGTTTTTATATATTGATTGTTTGGAACTTTCCATGAATGTTTAGGACTGTAATTGATAAGTCTCTTATGGTGCATACGCATCTTCTAAGAACTGCCTTTGTATTGCTATTAGATCACAAACATTTTTAGCAGAGATGGACGGTGGTTAGTAGTGGAACCTTGGATGCGCTTTACGTCTTATTTGGAGCTCATCAGCCAGATTCGCCCGCTTCCTATAGTTGATGTTCACTCCAATACACGAATACAGTACCTTTCTCGCGTTAACCACTTAGGGTCTTAGAGTAACGATCAATTCTGAGATTCAGGTACATCCAGCTGATGAATCTCAAAGAAGAAGAAACGTGCGTCCTGGATTCCACTGCTAACCACCATCAATCTCTGGAAATGGAAACTATTTGCTTGGTCACGCCAACATATTAATATAATATTTGTAATCTAGGAGAATATTCCTTATTACTTTTCTTCATTTATGCAAGATTTTTGTTGCTTTGAAAACTGATAATGTTTTGCTGAGTGACATTACTGATAGTGAAATTTAGTGGTGTTGGGTACTTTATGCTCAAAGATTTAGTGATCTGGATTTTATTGTTTTCATAGACAATAGTTTCAACGCCTAACCCTGTTAGAATCGTCATATTCAGACCCACTGGTTCGGAAGACCCAAAACTTTTAAGTTTGATTTTCAGAGGGACAGTAGGTGCCCGCTGTTGTATGGGCTCATATTACAACAAGAAATCTCTCTAAAACTGTCTAGTTGTCAATAACCATTCCAATTAATAACACTTCATGATGAAAACCAACTTTTAATATCATATTTTAAATTCTGCAGGTAAATAACTATGGTTTGTGAATAAACAAATTAAACGGAATAAACCCGTAGAAACATAAAATAATATTGATAACGAAATTGTTCACCTTTTAAACATTTCAACTTTACTTCAGAAATAACACATATACAACTTTAATAGTTAAGTTCATGAGTCGATGTAAGCTAGACTGCCATTGAAAACCTGGACGCGCTAGACGGATGTTTTGTTCTGGTATGGAACTACTCAGAGGTGAGCCTCTACGACCCAGCATACGGAACTCAAACGCAAGACCTTCGGTCTCGCGCATGAATGCTTAACCTCTAGTTCACTGAGCCGGCACCCAACGTACACAATTATTATTTGATCGATTTCACTAAAAACTTTCATTTAAATTAGTTGTTTCTATATGTGTTATTCTTTTTTTTTCATTCTATATAAAAATAAAATGAACATTCAGCAAATAGAGTATAATATACCAAAGGATCAATTAGTTTTTCTTCAAATGTCAAGTGAAGTAGCCATACAACGATTAAAAGTGAATTGTCGAAATATACAAAATATATTAGAAATTATATCTTTGTTAAGTGATAATAATGTGTTGATTGAATTCAATGAAACTATACAATTATTTTCTATTGAAATAGAAGAAAATACATGTGGGGTAAGATTTATTATATTTTGTACAATATTTTGATAATATTATTGCTTAATACTTATTAGTATGAGAATGGGGGTTTGTGGAGATTACAGTAATTTAATAGTTGAATTCATGAGCTGATTTAAGCTAGACCACCATGGGAAACCTGAAAGCACGGGATGGCTGTTTCGTCCTAGTATTGGACTACTCATCAGTCCTGGATTCGATTCTCGTATGTGGGACCGAGGATGCGTACTACTGAGGAGTTCCATACTAGGACGAAACAGTCATTCAGTGCTTCCAAGTTTTTTATGGTGGTCTAGCTTAAATCAACTCATGAATCCAACTATCAAATTTATCAGTACGTTTGAAGAATGAATATTTATGTCTTTATATGCATAAATGACTAATTGATCAATTGGAATGTGGTAGGTTTACATTTTTTCGGTGAAATTGATGGATGAGCTAAGAATGTGAATAAAATGTGTTTCAAAGGGAAAAATAAGATTGCCAACACGGATGACTGTATTCACTATTCACTGAAAGGAGAATACTAATTAATGTCATTAAATAGCTCTTTGGAATGTTATTAAGTTTAATACCATTATGAACTAAAAGAAATGAAGACACATTATATTATTATTATTATCAATGGGTGTGATTTGATTTTCATGATTAGTGTTGTCAAATCTACAAGCTTCAATTTTCCTTCTTTCATTACTTGTGATATATAATTAAAATGAATTATACATATGTATCGGATAGTCATACAGTTATTTTATTCACTAAATAATAAATCAGAGATCAGTGTTAATGTTCTATGATAATCTCTAATTCTGAAATCTAAACTAATTATTACATAAGGAGATATTAAGCTGAAATTTGTCAGCATGATTTTATACGGTATTTAGTTTCCTACATTTATAACACTATCTAAGTGATAACTTTGATGATTCAAAAGTTTTGTAAACATTAGTTTAAATGATTTTTGTCATAGAATGACGTTAATCGAGGTACCGTTGAAAACTGGTAAGCACTGGACTGATGGTTCCTCCTAACCCTAACATTTATCTTTCATTAATGAATTACTACTTCACTTTCAACTTGATTAGTTCCAAAGGTCATTGGTACTAACTAGAATTTTCAGAAATCTTTATCAAAGCTAATCACTAGTGTGTACAAAATTCAGTCAGCCAGTCAGCTACAACGTAGGACCAGGTACATACATACATCGGTCCAATTTGCCATACCTCACTAACTCAACAAGATGAACATCGGATTTATAGAAGCAGTTAATTCAGTGCTGGTAATATATAAAAGAAAGATTGCACATAAGGACGTAGTACAGGAAGAACGAGTTCGTTGAAAGAAAAATATGAAGCAATCCTAATCTCATAGTTTAAGGGAAGGCAAAGAGTGTATACACCTACGCCATGTCACTCAGAGTCTCCAACCATTGGTTTCGATAGTCACGCGGATCCCAACCAAGTAGTCTGCACCTACCAACATGGCTCAAACTAGACGTTAGTGACTTTAAGCACTGATACTGCGTTTTGGTTTAGTCACCCCTAACTTTCTTCCAACTATCCCCAACACTAATCAGCATTGCACATCGTGATAATCAGTGTTCATAATAATTATTATCCAATACTATTTGATTTTAATAGTTCATAGTGAAAATTAATTCCAACTCATTGTTATGTATAACAATTAAAAGGATTTTTCTATGATGTTAGTTTTAATCTAAGAAATAAAATCTTATACTTAGTTATTTATAAATCATGTGAATTGACAGATTTTTCTAAATAAAAGTAACTATGTGCATAGAGTCAAACTACTTAAAAAAAAAGAAAAGAAAACTTATCCATCAATTCAATAAAGATGATAAGTATGTATATATACTTAACTAAATTATGAATAGAAATGGTCAGATAGAACCGGAATTAAAATGATCATTTTCATTATTGATTTAAAATTAATCAATATAATATACTCAAATAAATAAATATTACACCATTACAAATGAGCATAGGATAGTGATGCAAGAGTTTTATAAGTAGTAGCCTTTCAATCAATAATTTTTTTAATATGATACTTATTATCATCTATGTATTTATTGATTTGCAAACAAAATATAAACGTATGTTTATTAGGTTTATTAATACAAATAAATTTATTTATCAAAAACTGATGGTCGTTGACGCCTAGAAATAAATAGTTAATTAGAAAAATCTCTAAACAATGATTTTAACTTAATTCTTATAAGTAATTTTAATAGTTGAGATCATGAGTCAGTTGAAGCTAGACCATCATGGAAAACCTGAAAGTACTGGACAGCCATTCTGTCCTGTTATGGAACTCTTCAGCATTGAGCATCCATGATCCCCCCTTGCAAGACTCGAACACAGGACATATCAGTTTCGTGCGCGAGCGCTTAACCACTAGACCACTGAGTAGGCATCTAAATGTGTTAATGTCTAACTTCAACTAATCCACGAAATTGAGTGACGTATCTACCATTGTCATCAGTGAGTTACTACCTCACAACTGACCCGGTTGAACTCCACTGGTCACTGATTCTCACTAGAACTTCAGGATATATCTCTTGAAGCCAGTCACTAGTGAGCATATGTTGATTAGTACTTGAAGGGTTTTTGTGGAGATTGTAGTAATTTCTATAGTTGAGATCATGAGTCGATTGAAGCTAGACCACCATGGAAAACCGTTTCGTCCTATTATGGGACTCCTTATAAATAATTTATAACATGGTATGTTAATAAACTGTTTTGTTTTTCTCATTATTAAGTGATCTATTTCAATGTAAATAGTATCACTATGGAACAATAATAATTTCTATACTATATGGTATATATTTTATTCAATTCATACTTTGACCATTTCTCTGTATATGTTTGATTACACTTGTTGTATACATGTTGTTTCATAATGCCGTTTGTGTGTAACTAGTAACTTTAATGATCTGAAAACTTATTTATTACTTAAATAACGAACCGCCATCGTTTGATGAGTCATTGACAACCTGAAAGAACTGAATAATTGTTTCATCTGGTTTTGAGATTGTTCCATAGTAAATACCCGTAACCCATCACTTACTCGACAACAGAAATTTCGGATGTCGTAATATGTCACAAATAGCATCTAATGTTACTAATAAATGAGTGCTTCAGTTGCAGTTTGATCGACTGGTCGGATGAATTGTATCTCACTCAATAAGACAACTAAAGTTTCGAAGGGAACCTCAAATGATACCATAAGTGTATACTGTTAGGTAGTCCCAGATGAGATCTGTGTTTAAATTAAATAAACATCTATACACCACGTAAGTTACTTGTAGCCATTCATAATAATTTAGATCCCCAACAATGTACTTACTAATTATTCTAAACTGTTACAAATGTTACTTGGTTGTTTACAGACAACATAGTATAAACATAAATAAACGAATTTATAAAGATAATAATCAAATAGGAACTCTGTAGACTCGAGTAACATTTTTCAGAGTCCTTGATTTATTGTTTTAGTTGGAATTGGCATTATTAGTTAAAATTAATACGACACTAATAACAAGTAATGAAATCCGATGTTTACAAGAATTAAATACTATTAAAATTAAAGAAAACACTACTAAAAGTAGATATACACTTAAACTAAATATTCCGTGCTAATGTTAATCGATGTATAAAATTGAGTTTTTAATTTGCAAATTTTCACTGATGCTGACGCTTAGATCAATGTTTTCAAGACTAGCCATGAAAACTCAAAGTTAGGGAATTTAAAAAAAATCAGATGAAATATTCCAATCATGGATTGTAAATATTGATCATTACTATTGATAAGCTTCCATAACATTTTCGATCTTGATCTTATTTCTCTAATTTGATTGGAAATTATCTCTGAACATCAATTATCGGTGGTTTTCTGATTCAATAACTAATACTTTCATTAAGACAAATTTCACATTGGATGTATAATTAACTGTTACTTATAAAACTGTGTTAGAGCTTGCTTTGTGATACATTCTGATGATTTTCGCAATATATGTCCTATCCATCTCAAACGTCTTTTCCTAATATACGCTTCCACTGGAAGCAGGTTTGTTCTCTCCTACAGTAGGTCGTTGCTGATGGTATCCGGTCAGTGAACATTCAGTATCTTGTACAGACAATTGTTTAAAAACACTTGTACTTTATATGCGTTGTTTGTTGTAGTTCTCCAAGTTTCAGCTCCTCATATTAGAATTGTCTTGACGTTTATACTGAAGATTATGACTTTGATGATGGCCGGCAATAGTTTTGAGTTCCATGTGTTATTCAACTGTAGGAATGCTGTCCTTACTTTTACAATCCTTTGCTTCACATCTACATCAGATACTCTACGTTCATCGATGATGCTACCAAGGTAAGTGAAACTTTCCACCTCTTCCAAAGTTTCCCCATCAAATGTGATTGCGATGGTGTTCTCCGTACTGTATTTGAGGATCTCGCTTTTTCCGTCGTGTATGTTGAGGCCTACTGATGCAGAGGTTACTGTTACACTGTTTGTCTTCACCTGTATTTGTTGGTGTGTATGGGATGGAAGAGCTAAATCATCTGCAAAGTCCGGATAGTCTACTTACATCCAACCTGTCCATTGTATTCAGTGCTTCCCTTCAGATGTCGACGTCTTCATAATCCAGTCAACTACCAGAAGAAATAGGGAAGGAGAGAGTAAGCATCCTTGTCTGACACCGGTCCTCACTTGGAATGTATCTGTCAGCTGTCCTCTATGCACCACTTTGCTCTGTAGTCCGTCGTATGAATTCCGTAGTGTCGAGATTGGATCCTTACCGAATCCAGTGTGTTGATTCCGAGGCTAGTTATCTGCTGAATCTTTCATCCAGGAAAATAACACTCCGTTGAAAGCTTTTCCGTGTATTGATAGTAGTGTGATGCCTCTGTAGTTCTCAAACTTGTTCATATTTCATTTCTTCGGTATCTTGGTGAGATATCGTTCTTCCCAGTCTGTCAGTGGCACTTATTCGCCCTACCAAATCTTCTTAATTAGAATATGGAGCACCTTTGCAGCTAACTCTTTGTCCTTCATTAGTGCTTCAGCTGTTATGTTGTCTGATCGTGTTGCTTTCCTACTGTTGATTTGTCTGATAGCCAACCTGATTTCTTCGATCGCTGATGGAGTGACAACTATAGGAATATCTATACCAATATTCGTCAAGATTGGAACGAACAGTTTGACAGAAACTGGGCGCCGAGTATAGAGAAGTCATTATATGTGAAAATTATATTTGATTATTACCCTGAAGACGTTCAAACAAGTTAGCTGGACGAAACGTTGGAATAAGTTAAGTTTCAATCGCTGAGATTATTTCAAATATAATTTTCACATATAGGAATATCTGTTTGTACTATTTCAACGTCCGGTGGGTTTGGACGGCTGGTCTATCCAAGCGCTCCAAAATGCCCTATCCACCTATTTCGTTGCTCTTGAATCTCAGTGATTGGTTTCCCTTCCTTGTTCCTGACTGGTCTCTCTAGTTTACCATATTTCCCTACTAGCTTCTTTGTTATGTTGCATAGTTGTCTCATGTTCCCTTCTCTTTCAGCTTTTCCCATTGTCATTGTCGGGTCTTCCACTTATTTCCACTTGTCGGATCTAATGCTCCTCTTCACTCGTGTGTTTACTTCTGTGCATTCAGGTTATGTCTTGATTTTCTCTGCTATTGTTCGACTGTTGTTAATTGCTGTCTTCTTGTTCTTCCTTTCTCCAATCCTGTTCAGAGTATCGGTAGAGATGCATTCCTTATGATGATACTTCTTGAGGCCCAGCAACTCCTGACACATTGAAGTTAATGCTTGTTTAACCCCTTTCCAGATGATCAATATGAGTGGTTTCCTTTTCCTTGAGTAGATCTTGTAAGGCTTGTAATGTGTCACTGAGAACTATTTTGAATTCGCTGAGTCTGTTAGTACTCCTGAAACGGAATACTGTTTCTTTTTTTAATTTATTAGTACCCTACTCCTCTCTCTAAAGAGTACTTATCCATGTTGATTTTTTAATACTTAGTGACATGAAAACTATTTTCTTTAGACTTTTTTTTCTTCAATTTATTTATTAGCTTGCAAAAAAAAGACACTTAAATTATTGATTTTCCTCTAATTCTATATTCAATTATTAGCAAAAACAAAGTGGAAGTCTTCTTCTTACTGTACGTACAAAACAACCATCTTTATTACCAATCCGAGATATTCGAATAACAACTAATGGATTATATGATTCTGAATTATCTCTAGAAGTCGGTACAATTTGTTATGGTGGTATGGATCCTGAACAATTCAATATAACAGATATTGATAATAATAATAATAATAGTAATAATAGTAATAAAGAAGATTCAAATCACAATATTTATGATCATATTGAGCATAAATCAAATTTTCAAGTGAAAAAGTCCAATTTCAACGAAATGAATAATAATAATATTAAACTTGTATCTGAATCATTTTAATTTAACACTTACTATGGTTATTATTAATATTAAGGGAGGAGGTGGGGTTGATGGAAGATTTATATACTCTCAAAGTAATATAATGATAAACCAACAATTACCATGGCAATATAACCAATGCTTTATCTTTAATCAAGAAATATTTGTAAATCTATTTCAAAAATAAAAATGCAATAAGAATATGAAAAAAAAAGTATATTTTATACATGAATTTTATTAGATTTCATTTCATTTCTCTTTTATTGGAAGAAAGATTGGGTTTTCATAGTGTTCCAAGTTAGTTTTCATTATCTTCTATCTTTAATCTCATTCATTAAAGAATGAATATTGTATGTCATTGAATGTTTAATAGAATATAAGATACAATAATCAGTTAATCAATATTTTTTAACTGATAAATTAATCAATATTACTTCGAATAGTTGTCAGTTAATTCATTTTTATCACTTCATTTCCCAATCGGAAAACGTCCTCATTTTTTTTGATGATGATGATGATGATGATGATTGTTGTTTGGCTTTGATGTTTGTGTATATGTTGGAAATAATCAATGATTTGAAAGACAATTTTTCATAATAAATTGATATAATTAGGAAATCGAATGGAAACAGATTGTTCAGTATGTAAACTTAATCATTTACTGCAATTTATAATGAGTAGATTGAATGACAGATATGATCAGAGTAGAACCTAGCACATGTGTACATTGAACTAATTTGGCATGCAGGAATTGAAATGAAATTGACAAGCTGAATAAGAAGTCAAGGTAACAGTAGTATCAGAAAGACTAAGCAAAGAAGTTACGATTCGAAAAGGATGAGTGAATTTGAATAACAAAAACTATGGATATATACATCAAAAACTACTTACGAAAATGTTGTATACAACTAACCTCAAGTTGTTGTCCCATGAGCTTTATAGTTACGTTCGTGGATAAACAAGACCCTCATTAATTTTGTTTACTCTTCATGATTATTAGGAACAAAGGTCCCTCCGTAAAATAACTAAAAAGCGTCAAACTCCAGTACATCCCCCAACACACAAGTCCGCTGTACTCATGTAATATTGTCAACGCATATTTATGTCTTACATCGTTATTGATTGATGATTTGTAGATAGATATGAGTGTTGGTAATGAGAGAAATTTGACTTAACAGCTAAATTAACTTCTTGAAGTGACTAAATTAGACTAAAAAAGACAACAATAGAGTGATATTCTGTAGATTACTATTCAATTGTCATTCGCAATGGTATCCAAAATAGTCTCGACAGATATACAACATTAATCCATCAGATAATAACGCGATCGTTACCGTATGGTTACTTGAGATGTAACACACTTCTTTACGTGTTTATCGGCTGAGTAAACTAAATGATAGCTGGTGTCGCAGTGGATTGAGATGAAGTTAGGGGCAATCATACCAGAAAATAGCATCAGTTCATAAAGACACTATTTGACTGAGTCACGTAAATAGGTACAAACCACCTGGTCGGAGTTCGAGTGATTATCCTTACCAATTATTAGAGGCTTTGTGCATTCACTCTTTAGTTTTCCTTAGATTTTAAATTTCTATACTCCGTATACATTTCTTTATTCTACATATTCATATTTCCTTCAGTCGTATCATCGATAAGTTTTTCTATCATCACCAATACTGTTATTATACCTGCTACCCTGGGATTTTCCTCAACATTCTCATCTCGCTACGTTAACGGAGTATGGCAGCTTGGACCGACGTGCACATGTGCCGGGTTATACGTTGTGTAAAACTGACTGACAATTTAGTGTCACTACCTCGTAAAACTCAATTCAATGGATTTGTCATACTTTGCAGGTACAGTTACAGTGGTTTCCACATAGTACATTATTAGATTTCACTAGGGGTGGGTAGAAACAATAGAGATAGTTGGTTTGATATGGTATGTTGAAATGAATGGTAGTGTTGGATTACCGTCTGTTGCTATGTCATAACACCCTGCGTGAGGCCCTAAGGATCCAATAACTTAGTGGTTTCATGCATCATCACACACGCAACGGCGTTTGAAGCGAACGATACTGGGTTCGAGTCCCAGAGTGAACATCAACTCTGAGATGCAGGTACATGCAGCTGACGAGTCCCAAATAGGACAAGACGCGCGTCCTGGATTCCACTGCTAGCCACTATCCATCTTTGATAATAATCTCATGTTTTATTACTTAAGTTATTTTCCCGTTATATTCTCCACAAGATAGCATGTGATACCTACAAGTGAATGACAATCCAGTTTTCTTTCTGTTATGCAGCAGTACAGCAATAAATGGATATCTCTATTTTTAATAACTGATATGTCATTTTCTTCTTTAGAGGTGATATCGATTTACTTGTTCTAGCCATTAATTCCGAGACTAGTTTTTCGAACTATTAAGTCAAATGCCTATAACTGAAATCATAATCAATACACGAAACAATTCTATTCAGTTTAATATTGGAATATTTCGGATGGCACTGAATAAAAGTAACTAGATGACGCCAAGTAAAAGTTGGTAGTATTGTTAAAACCATTGAAAACTATTGTGAACGTATTGGTTTGAAGTTTACCAACACAAAAACTATTTTAATTAACATAAAATGTACAAAATAATTCACATTAAAACCATTTGTAAGTCACTGAATAGTTTGTTTTTGTTGAAAGTAAATATATATGAAAACACTTTTTAACTGAACGTTCCTTTTCTGCAGATAGCTTTTAACAGGATATTGCCTCCAGAAAGCTGACAAACTGAACTTCCCAACAGTGTTCTTTGGGTTACTACTCATAGCAGTGAACAGGAATCAAAATGGGTCACGTACCAACATGACAATAGGGGGTTACTACTTTTACTTGCTTCTAGAATAGCTATCCGGACAGGTAACTAATTTAATTAAGACAAATCAGTAACTAAGGGCAAATTCATATACCCAACTTTGAGATACCTTTTTATTGTGAAGGATAAGTAGTTTAAATCTGGAAAAAAAGTGATTGAAAATCAAGTATCAACTATCTCTTTTGTCACCCATGACACGAGAGAATAGAATGATTGTTATATAGCTAAATATTAAAAAGCAACAATAGCCATGGGTTATAAGCAACTAATATGACGGACAATGAGAAGAACTGATCGATCAATATGACAAAAAAAACCCTGATATATTGGCTTATGGAATCGCAACTCAAAAATAACCAATAGCCAGTCGAGAACTGTCAACAATCAATGTATGTATCATTAAAATTTTTGTACGATCCATTAGGCTTCACCTAGCGCATTCATGAACATCAATAAAAAAAGGTTGAAGACTATTATTTACACGAAATCTATTTTACGTTTTATGGATCCCTTCAAGTGCTTTGAGATCACAGTGACCTTAATTAAAACAATTGTTGTGTACGAACACAAATATAGAGTGAAAAACAGATAAATATGCACAAATTTGTGTGTGCAAAGACCAGTCTGTTTCGCTAGTTTAAAGAAAATATATTAAAAATGAACTTATCGAACAAATGATAATGGGGATATGGGGGCTTTTATCACTTGTGAAGATAATATTGATTATAAATTGGGATAGATGAAAACAATTAAAGCAATAATGTATACAAACACACAAATAAATAGGTGAAATTAAGGTTGTTTCAATAGTATTTATGACTAGAAAATGTTACGTTATGTTATAAAATTAATCTGTCAAGCATCCATGATGTGTTGCAGAGCTATATGGTATGGCACTAGCATTGACGATAATAATAATAGTAATGACAATGAATATGGAGAAGACAGTTCAAAGAACGCTGTTCGGATCAAGTAAAGGATCACGTTGGTGCCGATAGCGAAGAGCTGTCCATACTCCTAGAAGCTGTAGACAAATAAAACATGATGATTAAAACGATGAGCTAATGAAAACAAATATGAGAATTTAATGATTAAGGAATTAATCACACAAACACAATAAGAAGAGGGTCGAGAATCATCGACCTGACATTTTTTGAGAACACCTACATACTCATTTAATTTACATACACCTACTGCCTACTGTTTTCATCGGGGTTCTCCCGTAACTATATTTAAATAAGACAAGCACACACAAACATAACTTACTTACTTACGCCTGTTACTCCCAATGGAGCATAGGCTGCCGACCAGCATTCTCCAACCCACTCTGTCCTGGGCCTTCTTTTCTAGTTCCATCCAATTCTTGTTCATTTTTCTCATGTCTATTTCCATTGGTCTTCCTCTTTTCCTTTGGCCTTGAGGATTCCATGCGAGGGCTTGTCTTGTGACGCAGTTGGGTGCTTTCCTCAATGTGTGTCCTATCCACTTCCAGCGCTTCTTCCTGATTTCTTCCTCCGCTGGGATCTGGTTTGTTTTCTCCCACAGTACGTTGTTACTAATAGTGTCCGGCCAATGGATCTGAAGTATTTTTCGTAGACAATTGTTAATAAACACTTGTATTTTCTGGATGATGGCTTTCGTAGTTCTCCAGGTTTCTTCCCCATATAGTAGAACTGTCTTGACATTTGTATTGAAAATCCTGACCTTGGTGTTGGTTGACAGTTGCTTTGAGTTCCAGATGTTCTACTGTTGTAAATATGCTGCTCTTGCTTTGCCGATCCGCGCCTTCACATCTGCATCAGATCCACCCTGTTCATCAATGATGCTGCCCAAATACGTAAAGGTTTTTAGCAAACATAACTACTATCCACATATTAGGCCAAATAAGACAAACAGACTTACAGATATGGCACTTGACATATTTTACGCATGACCGCCAGCCTGAAACTTTAGGAGTGCAACAAGGTATATAATTTGAGTTCTCTTTGGATATTTTTGAGCTATTTATGTACTAATCACAAGCTGGAGCTTTACATAATAAATGATGCATTGGTTTCGCAGAAACCATAAAAAGGTGGTAGTCAATTTGAACTTAAGCAAATGGAAATGAAGACAGTGTCATAACTACGTTAAGTCCGCTGGGAACACCGTTCATATAATACTGAAGGGTGGAAACGCATGCTTAAAAAATGTATCAATAATTCAATGAAGTGAAACTTTTATTCATAATTTTCTAACAGCCTCTACATTCAGTAATATTCGCTGACGCTGGAATTAAATGGAAAATCAGACGTGCTTAGTTTATGAAATGATAATGGAAAGAACCGCGGGGGATTTTTTAGAAACATTATACTCTGGTGCTAAATCAGATTTACAAGCATGTAAATTTTATTTTCAAACGCTACAAAGTCATGATCCTAAACCTATTGATACGGATATATTTATGGATCTTCCTTTTTTTCAGACAGTAATGTTCCGGCCGTTTATGAGATTAGGCTTTCAGATCACAGGTTCAACATATATTCGAGGTAATTATATCATTAAAAATACACTCGTTTAGGTTTATATGACCTCTTTCACTCGTCATCCGACTGCTGTCAAAGACTTTTATCTCTCTGAATCTTTCTAACTGATTTGACATTTGATTGTAGAAGGCCATCCTGCAGTACAGCTATTTTACAATCATGATTACAGCAATAGTTTTCCACCAGTTGCATGTGAACTGTATGTTATAAGGTTAACTGATTAATATAAATATATATTAAACTAGTAAAAGCACAAAATACCAGTGGCTGTAACACAATTACAAACTAAGAACTCACTTCAATAACGCTGAAGAAAAGGCTAGTGGCACCAGTAACTCGGACACCAGTTGATAACCGTTCTTGAATTACAGTCCAACAAGTTGTAGTACATGGGCAAAACGTGTTATTCCCCACATCTGGACCTTGGCAGCATTTAGCAGTTTCACCATCAGGTGTATCGCAGCAAGACAGCTAGAGAAAATAATGTGATACTATTAAATCACCTCAAGTCTGATTAAAAACTAGAACTGGATAACCTAGTCTGATATAATAATAAATATCCTATCAGTCATAGTTGTAATACTTAAAACTAGATTAACAGGATATGGAATAAAAAAATGGTAAAAATTGCAAAAATATATAATCTAATCAGTAGGTATAGGTTAGAACAAAAACAAACTAACATATCAACTTCGAATCTGAGTCTAAGTTGCTAAACATCGTAATACAAAAACAACCTAGGCCAACATATTTGTACCAAGTTCTGTGTTGTTAATGTCTGTCAGTAATAAGAAGCGGTAAATCAGCATAAATAGGACGACAATAAAACGGACGAGAAACACAGGAGTTGAGAACGGTAAACAAATAACCGGTAGTAAAAAGTTTAGGAATTAAAAGGCGAAAAGTGGGTGAACCTGAGCTATGTCATCTATGGTTTCCAATGATTTTCTGATTGGGAGTACTCGACACAATTTAGACTAACAATCAATGACTTTATGGACTAATGCTATGTTTTAGTCTGATATTACTTAGCTTTCCTCAAGTTTACTACAGCTTTAGACAGTACCTTCGATGACAACGCTGCGTGACTAGAACATGATTTCATTTTTTTAAACAGAAAAGCCAAAAATCCAAATACAGTGGGTTGGAGTAAAAGATAAACAATTCCTATTGCAATTCAGAGTTCTACTATTGACTTATACACCTGTAAGGGTGTAGAACAACAGTTTCACCGATTTATTTATCAGTTATTTGAACATATAAATATTGGTACGAGGGGGTACCAGATATATATGCGCCACACAATAACAATGAAAATGGGACGAGAAAAAAGAACCTAAGGCGCGTAGAAGAAGGAATTTAAAAAAGAGAACAATAACGACCACATATTAGTCTATGATAGTGTAGTAATAATAATAATAATACTAATAACAGTAATAATAATAATAATAATAATAATAACAATAATAATAATAATAATGGGGGAAACGGGAATGTACAACCAGAAAGAGTTCTTTCAGCTAAGGAGGTTACAACCACTTTTTATGAAGAAAGTAAAAGATTACAGCAGGATTACCACTGGCTACTTTGCACTTCGAAGGTGCAAAGCACAAACCATACCTACGGACACTGATTGTCAACTGATTAAGTGCGGATTGCATGCCTTGGGCATTATCGCACAGTAAGACAATATGGTCCGCATACTCAAGGTCGAGAAGTCTTTCTCCAGGCAACAGATCCACACCACCATTACTGACATTCATTAGAGCTGTGTCCAGAATGTCATCGATGGCAAAGTTGAAGAGGAATGGTGAGATTGGGCAACCGTGCCTAACCCCACTGTTTGAATGGAACATTAGAGAGAGGTGGTTGTATGCCCTCACTCTGCCTGAGGTGTTTGCATATAGGGCTTTTAGGATGTTAATAAAATTCTCAGGCACACCCTTCTTCAATAGACAATCCCAGAGAACAGTCCTGTCCAACGAATCGAAGGCAACCCTGATGTCAAGAAACACTACGATTGTTGGTCTGTGATAAGCATGACGGTGTTCTAACATTTGGCGGAGGGTGAGGATATGATCAATACATCGTCGACCAGAACGAAACCCAGCCTGCTCCTCGCGAGTCAATCTTTCTCGGGTTTTGAACAACCTACGAAGTATGACAGAAGTCAACAGTTTGAACGCAATCGGAAGTAGATTTATCCCCCGATAGTTGTTGCAAGAACGACGTGAACCCTTTTTAAATAAAAGAAATCAAAGAGTGAATAATAAACTATGAAACTTTATCATCCAAATATGTAGTGAACCGTGATTAAGTTCACAAGTTCAGTAGTCAACATACTATACTCAATATTCTATAGGTGGATATTCCATCGGTCAGAACATGGCACGGATATGTATCGGCTCAAATTGTCACTTCTCATAATATTACAAAGAAAGAAGAAATTAATATGATGAGAAGATTATAAGATATATTTCAGTGACAAGATAAATATGTGAAATGTAGTTTGAAAGGAATAAATGAGACTAAAGAAAGAATAACATGGAACAGTGTTTAACTGAAGATATATAGGCAGATAGAGAATGTATGCAGCTTAGTTGTTGTGATCGATCTTGAGTCATGTAATCCAACGTTATCAACTAAAGAGAACAATTATAGTAATTTTGTTGTTGATTTTGCTCCGTGCTCCCTGCTTTTATGTTCTTCTTTGTAATTGTGCATTATTATTGTTATTACACGAACCATGTACCTGGACTGGAAACGCCTTACAATGAACCATTTAATTTTCCTCTCCGCAAAGATGATAGCTCTCATGATGCGTATCTTGGAAACAATAATTCAGTCTGTCATAATGACATAGTACGTAGTTGATTGTCTTCGGAGATTTCGTCAGCTTCACTTACCTTTACCTTCGTGTTTCTTCTGGGTGTATTTCTTGAATAAACTCTGGTCGATTAACTGGTTTAACTTTTTCTTATAGATTGGTAAATAGGATCGATGTCCATAGGCCTATTCACCACGCAGAAAAGGAATCCCTTAACACTGACCAGTTAAGTGAAATACACGACCAATATATTGGACAAAAGCAGGGCATAGTCACAATGCTAGCTGACAAAAGATCCACAACATTAGTTATAAGCAAAGGGGATGATATTAAGAAGATTGGAGACCTAATGAAAGGTAAAGATGCGTATTTATTTTTAACAACAAATCATAACGAAACACGATCAGTGGTAAATGAATGATCTGTTCTTCCTCGACTCTACGAAAGACGTATGCGACGTAAACTACCCCTCACTTTACAACCAATTGTATCACTGCCGACCTACAATATATGTGCGCAAATTTACGATATGATAATGCGTCTAACTGAACTATGAGATTATTTTATAAACAATCCTTAGGCAAGAACAAAAACCTGCAAATAACCAACGTCGAAATCATGGTCCCTTCCGACGTTAAAGTTCTATTCACTTCAATATCACAGCTGCTTAGAAATGAAGAGCAAAACAGACAAAATATAATGGCCGCGTTTAATAGAACTTATCGATTTGTACAACATATTGTCAAGTCAATGGATAGATTTACCAATAGACTAAAGGAACTCTACAGTTATAAGTCCATAATTATAATATTTTACATGCCTTATTTTTGGCCTTTGTAAAATATTATAATTATGGACTTATAACTGTAGAGCCTGATGATGAAGTTATTGAAAACAATTGTTCGCTCAAATATTCTTCATTTTTGAATATTCTATGGGGATTTTTAAGCTGCTAAAGGAACTCTATTGGATTAGGTATGAGGCGTGAGTAATACATATCTCGATAACAAAATTTTATGAAGGTTTATAAACTTGTCAATCAACATATAATCTTAAATTAATACATTATCACTAACTCACCATTATTCACATAATGTTTCATTCAGATGTGAACAACAGCAAGGAGATACTAAAGATCAAATACCTATCACACAAACGTCTTCTGAATTCATAAGGTACAACTTTCAATCATAAACGTTAGACAACTAGGTTTACCAATTGAATGATCAGGTCAAAGAAAAACGTTACCGATGAGTGCCACTAAGCACTGAAATGAATCTTATGGATATAAAAATAGCTTTGTTTCATTAAAAATAATAATCAGTCGGTTGGTCGCTAGTTCTGTGTTAATGATATCCATTTACAGTTACTAGTATTTACCTATTTGGTCATTCTAATTTTATTTTAGCATGAAACTAGTTATTACTTAGATGTTTCTTGAGTAAAAATGCGACTGATACCTTCACGTGGTGCTCAGGGAATAGTGAGACTGTATCCCATGAACAACTATCGACTCATTCCATGACGTTGGTACAGTCTCTAGCTTCCAGACCTTTGTAAACAATGTTGTCAGTTCCCTAACCAGAAAGTCACTACCATCTTTAAAAAGAGCCGGAGGTAAGTCATCTGAGCCCGGTGATTTGTAGCGCTTTAAGAGTTGGAGTTCCTTGTGGACTTCCGCCTCATTTGGTGTATCAGTCGTCACCGGCCATGGAGGGCAGGACAGTCTGACCAATGTTCCTGGGGCATCAGGTCGCTTGAACTGCCCTTCGAAGAATTCTGCCCATCGTCCAAGACGTCGATGGATTTTAGTGATTGGCATCCCGTTATCCTCGCAAATTGTTTCGCCCACACCAGACTTCTTGCTGCCAGTGGCTCAGATGAGCTGGAAGAGCTTCCGGTAGTTACCAGATGCAGCTGTTGCTTCCAGCTCATTAGCACGCTCCGACCACCAGGCTTCTCGGTCCTTACGCAAGCTTTGCCCGATTTCCTTACATAACATCCTTCGTTTATGGTCAAACTCACGGTTACCCGGAGTAGACCGACGAGCTTCAATGAGTTGTAAGGAACCAGAAGAAACCCAGTGCTTATAAGCGGGTTGTTTCGCGAACCCACAACTGACTTTACTCGTCATGCAATTGCAACCAATACTCATCTATACTTTTCGGTGGAGTGGTAGCTAGCCTAGAGGCTAGCTCGGTTCGATACTTATTTGCAACAGAAGTTGCAACCAACTTGCTAATATCAATCCTTTGCTGGCGGTCACTTCGTTGTCCACTGAAAAGTAAGGCAAGATTGGCGCAGACCAAGGCATGGTCAGAGTCCAGATAGGTACTCCAAAAAGAGCGACAGTCTTGTAAACAACTACGCCAGCGGTAGCTGATCGCGATGTGATCAATCTGAGTCCAGGCTTGGGATGCAGAGAGAGAACGCCAGGTGGCACATCAGCGATGACTGTGCCGAAAGTTAGTGTTAGCCAGAAACAAGTTGTGGTCTGCGCACAGTTGTAGTAGACGGTCCCCGTTATCTGTCCTGCGACCAACGAGTCCCCATCGGCCACCTAAACGACTCTCTTCTGTGCCTAGACGCCCCACCTGAGCATTCAAGTCTCCGGCTAGTACTACAATATCTGTCGAACGCACCTTCTGGAGAAGAACAGATAACTGGTGGTAGAATTCGTCCTTGATCGCACCCGGGCTGCAATCTGTCGAGGCATAGGCGGAGATGACGAAAAGACATCGTTTCTCACACCGATTTCTCCTCACTTTGATAGAACTTTCTAATCTAACAGCACATAACCGACTGTCAATGGGGATCCAATCGATTAGTGCTGCCTCAGCTCGAGCGCTTAGTGCGACATCAACGCCAGCAAGACCATACGAAGATGCCACAGGGTCCCCGGATAAACGCACGTAAAACAAGCTTTTTGGATCGACAGATGGAGGGCGAATTCGTCGTATTTCACCAGAGTCTTGAATACGGGTCTCGGATAGACAACAAACGTCGATATTAAGACTTTCTAAAGACATAACCAGCCCTATCTGTTGACCAACCTGCATAAGTGTGCGAACGTTGAAGGCAGCCAGTTTGAATGGTGCATGTGGTTTCAGAAAAACTGCTTCAGTACTCGTATTCGGTGGTAACATTCAATTTCCAACCAGGCAGTGACTCGAGAATTAGGCATGAGGGCGTTTATCAATTCCCGGTTGCCCACACCGAGGAAGGGTTCTTCTGGAGGTACCTGATAAGGAAATTGGATTAGAGGTGATCTCAGTGACCTGAGAGCGTGACCGCAGTTCCCAAGGGACTACTGCTTGAGGCCGGTCGCGCACGGTCTTTTCGTGGGAGGTTTTTGACGTGTTAGCTCCGTTATTCAAAGGGCCTTACCGCCGGAGACGGAAATCCGTAATTAAGTTGAGGTGTGCATTTTTAGGGTCGACCTTTTCTAACCCCACCCCTCCTTGTGGGAAGGCAGCATCGCTGTCATGCTGGTTGTCTGAAGGAAACACCTTACTGCTGTCACACCTCTGTACAGTCAGCAGTACGACTTCGCCTTCGGACCTTGGGTTTGTTGCTTTTAGTCTTACCGCTCTTCAACCGACCTGTCTGACATGGTAGGACTTTGAGGAACGGTTGTTCCAGCCAGTATAACTCGGTTGTTTCATCACGATAGGCAAGCCCGACCACCACGTCAAGGTAGCAACAACGGTCGGGAGTGACTCGAGAACGTTAGATAGAGCTGAATTTTAACCATAGGCGAGCTGCTGTATGAGTCGAAAAGTAAGGATACATATAGCGGGAATAAAAGCGAGTGAGTAAATGACGTAGTAAATAATAATAATAATAATAATAATAATAATAATAATAATAATAATAATAATAATGACAATAATAGTAATAATAATAGTATTAATAATGACAATAATAGTAATGATAATTATTTGAATCGACTGATTGTTTTTCGGAGCGAGAAAAGTAGTTGCCATAGACATAGAGTTCATCGTTTGTGTGTAGGCTGTGATACTGCCCGGGTGCCCAAACCGAAGCAGGTGGTTTTCTTAGGGGGCCACATCCGGAGCCTTCAACCTGAAGGTCTAATCTACAAAGCAGTGGAGCATCGTAAGGAGATACAGTCCCATGGTAGCCGGTGACTAACGATTGGTTCATATGCCATTTGATCCTTTAGGATACTGGAGCCCATGTACACCATTGTTTTGGAATAAGGGTTTTCCAACTCCCCTAGGTGAACTCTTCATGTCCACCAACCCGTTTAAAGCGCCGGACATTCACTTTTCGTCCTCTCAATTTCGTAAACAACGGTTATGCCATGAGAAGGCAGTGAGTAGGAATTTCCTGGTAGTGGCTGTATACACGTGGCGATGTGAGAATATTTCGAGAGGGATAGCTGACTCTCCCCACTCCCGGCCGTACCAGGGCGTTTGGGGGCCACCGATTGACTCAGCTTCCTTCCTTCAACTATTCAGTCTAAACCTAAAACTTTCTGTTTAGTGACTGTTATTTCGAATACATTCGCAACCAAACATCTGTAGTCAATACATATTTTCTAATGGTTGCAGTTGTCTCACAGACACAAAAACAAGTCGGCTAAAATATTGGTTAGAGATAAGTGGTAGACGACTGATAATAAGGTTAGGAAGAAGATCTAGATTATCAGCAGTACAATGTGGATTGTTTAGATATGCGCCATGAAATCAAAGGTTAGCATTTTAGAAAAATTTGATTTTGTAACAAACTGTTACAGTGAAAAGTTGGGAATCGTGAAGTAGCTTGATAAAATAGTCCGTATTACTTCGTAATATAAAAAACAGTAAAGCAGAGCTTCAGGAGCATTATATGTGTCCAGTTCATTAGATATCCAATGTGTTTTGGGAACAAAACATAAAGCATATACTTAGATAATTGTGTACTATTTCAAGTTATTGGAATTAGAAACGATAAATTCTAACAAGTTAATGTATATAATTAGTTAACTACTTACCTTGGCTAACTTGCACGGGGGACATCCCAATGGGTCAGATGGAAGCAGATCGGCTTTATGGAGACCACAACATTTAAACGCCGTCATAACAGTTAGTTTTGAGTTATTGGAGCTTTGTTTCCACGCCGTCTCAACTAAAATCTTTTGATAATCACTGGAGAGTGACAGACAAGCGCATGCTACAGAAAACTGGACGAGAAAGAGGCTGAAAAGTAGGATTATATACTAATGACTAATAAGGGACTATAGACGAGTTTTGTGAGAGGTGAATATAATTCACTAAGTAAATCTGTGAGCATTCATTTAAACCCTGAAGTGGAGTCAAGTTTTTTTTACTTGAGTTTTAAGGATTTTTACAGACCAATGCCTACACTTAATAGATAATACGACTTGAAACCGATAATATTGCTTATTATCTTAATCCCCACATATTTTACAAAGATAACTCTTTTTGGTTATGCATTTTAGTGACAGTGAGAAAAGATCTTCATTACATTTCGATGAAGAGATAAAGTCCAAAAAGAATAGTCACTTACTTTCCGTCAAGATTGGAAAGTCATAATTTTAGGAGTTTTGTGCAGCTGTCTGAGGAATGTACAAGACTTATGATTTAATTAGTGCCTGGAAATTATATTCAATTAATTTTAAGATGCTACATTATCGAGTCGAATAACCTATGGTAATTAATTTTCAACCATCTACTTTATAATACTAAATTAATATTACGAATCATCGCATTTTATACTCAATTGTACATTCAGTTAGGGTCTGATCAAGTTTTCCGTAGCTGGCAAAAATAAGGACTGATACTTATTAGTCGAAGAACTAGGGAGCATTTTCATTGTGCCAGGTACAGAGACGTAGTAGTTCCAGACCAATGTGTCACCCATGTGCTTCAGTGAAGTGTGTCTGCTTCGTGTCAGAAAAAACAATTACCCCAAGCCAATAAACGAACTGAGAGAAGCTATCCATGAATATACAAATGTATTAATCAGATAGGTTTGATTATTAAAAGGATACGAAAAATAATATTGGCTGGTTGTGTTTGATAGCGCCCAACAATCCAACTACAGCAAGCACAAAAAGGAAGACTCCACAAGCTATAATACCGCCAACAATATGAACGCTCGTCACATAAATGCTCAGCCTGGCATACGCAGCAACGCCAACAAGAATGAAAGCAACAACCTAAGAAAAATATTGGCTCTTATACACATTTTCCAATTTACTAAGTAGAGTAAGTTAAGGGCTATGAGCAAGTACTTAGAAGATTTAAAACTAAAAGCCATTCTTTGACCAGCTTCCTGCCAGTTAGTCGTGGTTTTGCAAACGATGTATCAATGTCTCTGAATAGCTTGTGTGTTTTTAGGACAGAGATCTAAATGGTTAGTTAGTTTACATGACAAACGAAACAGTACAGTTTACCCCTAGCGTCCAGTCAACTACGGTCTCTAACTAAAGTTTTGTGTAGAATTTATTTGAGAAGTGGTGAAAAAACGTATGACTGGAGATGTTTATTGACTCAGCTAACTCGATAATCTAAAAAGGAACAATAAGAACCAAAGTTTTAGACTCAGTATATATAACAGACTTGAGCCCAATAAAATATCAGGATATAAACGAATCAAAGGATGAGTGCGAATTGAAAATATTATGCTGACCGAATTGGAAACTTTTGCACAAGGCCTTGACAAAGTACCGCAGAGCTTGAAATGCAGCTCAGCCTTCAGTTTTCAGCATCAAGGATACTCAACTTTTGAACCATTTAACTAATTCGTCAATCTTATAAATTATTGATCCTTATGTTCTGACATCAACTGACGCACGCTATTTATAGGAGACAGTGATCGATCAAGAAGCCAAAGTATGTTCTCGCGCACGTTTTAGATGTTGTAGATAATTTTGGATGTCGTTATTTACAAGCTATTAACAGCAATATTTCATCATATGTCAACTTTTGTAATCTTTGTGCTTATCACATAGCTTTTATTCCAGTTTATTAGTAGTTTGACGTAGTTGTTGTTCACAACCGGGCTGAATGTTCAGTCGGCCTAATGTGGTTATTTGTAACAATTCAAACTCAAGCAAGCGAATTTCAAGTCAAAAATAAACTAGTCAGAATTTTAGGTAAAAATCAGCTCTAAAGGCTTTCACATTTGATTCACCTCCGTAATTATGGTGATGATGAACATGGATAAGTGTAGGTTGAAGCAATTGAGTGTTTAACTGCTTTTGAATACTGTGTAAGTTAATAATAAACAGCCATCAACAGTTCTATCCATAATATGTATCGTGGTTTTCGACCGGACTGATATATTATTTCGTAACTTAACTGAAAAAGAAAACTTACATGGGTAACAACTGACGTTGATAGCTTTTCCTGCCCTCTCTCTGAACATATACAGGAACAATGTCTAACATTATTGTGTGTGGCATGTTAATTAGTCACATATTCTTTTCCAGTAAAACAATGGTAACTAAACCACGTCATAGTTTATACTAATTTATGATGTGCCCGTTTTTAGGGTTAACGAATGAATTTCTGTAAAAAGAATCCGAAACCACTGACCAAATTATAAACAAAGTTCTAATCCATTATAACGAGTGATATCTAAATTGTGCTTACCAATGATGTCATTATTGTATGTAAACAGTGAATTGCTAATAAAATTATAAACGTTGTAATTGGATTTTTCAGATTTCATATTACAAATTAAAGTTTTGGAATCCGCTGATTTAGTGCCTGTGGTTTCTTTGTTATTACAAAATGACTGTGTGAAATTCTAATAATTATAGTAGTAATTTATTCTCAAATAACAGTCTGTTACATGAGGCATGCCAGTTTACAGGCAAGATCAAATTGTTGCAGATGATACAGTTTCATTGTGGTGGGTTACTCAGCTAGTCTGATGCTTTATAAGGTACATTAATCATAAAAGTATGTGGGATAATACAAAGCATGTTATGTTCGTGCATATTAAAAATGAGTCATTTGTAATTAAATAGAGGAGTTATGACTACTTAGTCTAGTTTTCTATTATTAAGGTACTTTTTAAGCAAGACCATTCTAGCAGGTTAAAGAAAACATACGTAAATATGCTGTGAATCGACAAAGAACTGTAAAAATGGACGTGGTTCAAAAAGAAGCTGAAAGTATAGGATTGTGTGCAGTAATAAAATATAGTACTGCAAACAATATTCTGATACACAAATGGTTATCTCCCTTTTTTGTCGAGGCTATTTCTGCTCATTCTTATTTTTATTGATTACGTAGGGTCGTGCGCAAACTTCGTTTTTAGAAAATCGTCTAGCTTTGCTTGTAATAAATTTACTCGGTAGAAAGCGAAACTAATTCAACGTCCTAAACAGGGTTTAAAGAGGCATTTTTTATAAAAAATAAGTACGAATATCATTGGTTCGTGATATTCCATGTGACCATCAGGAATCATAATTTGACAAAATGTTCCAGGAGGGTTTAAAAACGAAGAGTACTGTTTACAACAAGTAAGTCACTTTCAGATACATTATGTTATCGGCTGTTTCATTTACTTATTGAATTTGATACATCTAATGAAGGTCAGTCGTTTGTTTCACGATTGATCTGTTGTTTTTCAGAACTGCATTAATCTGAGAAAGTCCTCATACTATTTTGATATGCGACTTATGGCTTCTGTCAAGAAATTGAAAGGTTCGAAACTTTCTAAAAATCAAGTCTATGCCAGTGAACAACTTAGAGGATTTCTGAATACAGAAGATTATGTGGCGAAACAGTTTACAAGCCGATGATAACTGTGTTTTGTATTTACTACTACCACAATTGTTTATCTGATGAATTATTTAAATATAAATATAACAACTATACTCAGTCTTTTACATCAAAAACCTTGTTAGTATGTAGAAATATAGTTCACTTCGGTACTAATACTACCTTGATAATAGACCTAATCCCAAAACGGTGTATATATCATGATGTATCTAATCCGTAAGATCTTAAGTGAAGGTCGCATCCCCATCTACGCTGACTCATCGTATCGTGACAATTAACCATGATTCTTAGTACTTCCGAAGAACAAATTTGTGCTTGAGATAGAATAATATTTTCAGTGTGAATAGTAATAAGTTCCACAAAATGAGCACATCCGTAAGGCTAAGCCATAGCATCCGATTGAGTGAATATCTCCAAGTTCACCATTGCCGAGCTTCTCAGAGTGTCACATGTCGAATATACACCCTTTCAGTCATCATACGCTTGACTCCGAAGACCATGTGGTTAGGAAACAATGCCATCGCAAGTATCTGTCCGAATATACTGTCATAGTGAAAAAACTTATATATACAACGCAACACTATGGCGAAACTTCTAAACCGATGCAGTACTACAAGTTTTCGTAATGAAACGGGTACTTATGAAGCAAACACTTAGTTGTTTTTAATTTTCAAAAACAGTTACTTGGTAAGATTATCGGTAAATCTACGAAGACGGAAACAAAAATTGGACAAGAGTTCACTGATGCATCATCATTACTGATACAGGAAGAGGAAACATTGATGCTGAAAGATCAGTTGACATTTTAGATATATAGTTAAATTAAAAATACTACTGCAAAAAACTTCTTCCAGCAGACAGTTCCTGTCAAGTATCCACACTTCGTTATATTCCGATCCATATATTCCATTGTAAAGGATACCACACAAAGGCATGCGTAATAGAAACTACCCTCTTATTGATGATTCTTAAGTGAAAATTGGCTTCGCTGAATGTGTACATACTGTTTGCTTCCTCTGGGTACTGAAATTTTTGTTTCATTATGGAAGGTGTGTGTGTTATCTATCTTCCATCGACTGTAATGTCTAAGAATATATATATTATACGTTAAAACTCCTGGCTTACGTCGATTAAAATATCTCTTAAACATGAAGCACTACAAGAAACAACTGGGCAATAATTACAAATCACCTATTCACTGTAACATTACTTTACTACGTGACGCAAGTACTACTAACATTGAAGACGTACCGTTTATTTGACATTTCATTTTAATCCTTGAGTAAAATAACGATCCACACAAAGTTCGCGTATCTAGAACTGTTAAGTGATTTTTATTTTTGTTACATTGCTTTCTGGATTTCATCACGTTTTAAACGAAGGTGGTGAGGTTCAGTAGAAAAATTGGTATCTGAGATCAAGTTACAAAGCAGCAGTCGACTCATCGTGTGCACTATAAGTCAGAGTAGACTAAATTAATGCGGATTCTTTTTTAGAAAAAGACCATTTCAATATGAGAACACGTTATATTTGTGCAACCCAACGGACACTCAACTAACCTACGGCAATTGACCTACGAAATGGACGCGCTCGCGTCAGGCTGTTCAAGATCGTTTAAACTAAACAGCAGGTGGCTTTGAGAGGATCGCTCTATCTTTACCATGAATATTTTTTCGTATTGAGTTATATTTATAGTTTTGATTTTGTAGCACGCATTAGGACTACTGTAACGACCGAACTGCCAGTCTTCAGTTTGAACGCAGGACTGACGAACCAAAATTTATTCTAATGGGCCAGACTACGTTCTTCTGTATAGCGTACGAGACGTTTTTGAGATACCCGTATTACATTATATCAAAACACAAACTCTGTGCTCAATCTAGACGGTTCTAATTTAGGAAATAGAACAAATTTTATCAAAAATACAAAATACCTCAAACGGCACAGCCTGTGCTATATAGTCAGAAGTTTCTCTAACGCAGAGTAGAGTGCTAAACAGTAAAAGAAACAATTAATAACAAAGGGTTTGATACCTGAGAATCAAGAAAAATATTTCCAATAAGATGGGTTCAAATATCTGTCTGCAGGGATTCCAGAAATCCTCCCAAGCAGAGAGTCTAAAGGTTAACAGTTACACTGAACCACGCCATGACCTTGAGCTTAGCCAGACACGACCTTACTGTCAATAGTCCGGCAACGTGCAATAGAAAATCGGGCAACAAATGATACGTCTTTGATCGAAATCACATAATAAAGGTTCAGACGAGAAAGACTGAAGAACAAACTGTGTGGCTAAAAGAGGTTAAAATACACGACAGGAAGAAGAAACAAGTAAATGACAGTACAGTCCAACAAAAACGCTGTGAAAGGATTTTCAGCCTTCTCTTCCCGTTACAACTACTGTTTTCACTTTGAATAGAAATATCTCGGTTAAAGTACTCAGTATATAGACACAATGACCGATGTTAATATATCTCAAATAAACTCAATTTCAACTGACTTTCGTGAAACAAAGAACAAAAG